ATCAAATTAGGAGCTATTGGGTATTTGGTATTAAAAACATACAACAGATGAAAATATTATCATGTTTTAGAATTAATAAATGAATGGAGAATGTGTTTAACATAACTTTTTAAAAATTCTGGCTTATCAGTCACAATGTTATATAAGATGGATGGGTGGGTGTGTTGGGGGTTGGGGTGGTTGTTTTCACATGTTTTTCTGGTCACATTACACATTTTGGTTTGGACCCAACAGACTGTACTAATTTCATTTTCCACTCCATTTGTGTTCACCGATTGCCCCCTTTCATGTGTGTATGTATGTGTGTTTTTACCTACCTACCCACCTACCTACCTACCGACCCACCCACCTACCTACCTACCCACCCACCTACCTACATAGGTAGTCGATGAAGCATGGCATCCGTATACACATCGGTCCAAAACCTTATGTCATATGCACTGCTATTGCTATACAGATGTCCCTTCATGATGTGATGATAAACATTCTAGCATTGTCTGATGGTCTCTCCCTGTCTTCAGCATTCCTCTCATTATGACATACATATACATATATGTAGACTGTCTTCACCGACGGGCACTTTTGGCATACAAATTCTATACTCTTTGTCAGATACAGACATTCAGACATAAATCACATAGTTTGTAGTTCATTCTACCATAATTCTGCCATGTTAGTTTGTGCTTATATTACATTGTGACTGAATAGGGGCTTTTCAACTGAAATGCTGTAGAAAGATTCTCAAAATTTCTTTAGTAACAATCATTATCAATTTTGTAAATAAAGTGTATAGTATTCTGTTTACATCTGAAGTTTAAAAATAAACTTTAAAACAGCCATCTATAGAAGATGGTGATGTAGATTTTTACAAAAAAATTTTTTTTTAAAAGATGATAAGATCTGCTTTACTGCACTAGATTCTGTTCAGTATGAACTCAATCTCTGCAAGTTTTGAAGGTATTGTATTCTTTGATGGAATTTTTCATTCCCCCTGTAAAACTGTGTCTTTTCAGTTTTGGCACAAATTACCTGATATGTTCACAGTTTGTTAAGCCAAGTGTTAAAAGTAATTTCCAAACAATTCCAGTACTCGAATTTATTCAATTCACTCAAATTAGGGAGTGAGTGAGTAATTGCAGCATAAACCGTAACTCTTTGAGTCCCAAGGAACGCATCATACGTTCATAGGTTCCTACCTAGAACCCCAATGAACGCATGATGCGCCGATTTTATTACTTTCTTTACTACCCCCTGGGCCTGTGATGCTAAACCCCCTGGGACTCAAAGAGTTAATATTCATATTTTTTACCTGCTGCATGCCATGTGGTCAGTTTATTTTACTTATTTCATTTATTACATTTTTTTTTAAACAATTGGCATTGTTCAATATTAATGTGCATCATAAAGCCCTGACTAAAATAAAAAAATAAAAAAACAACACTTCCGCATCTCGCAGAGAATATATTTATACTCTTGACTTTCTTTTCTATTACGTGTCATTCTATACTGTCAGATCTGATGTTTTTCTCTCCTGTATTGTCATCTTTTATATTTTCCTCCGCTGTGCTGTCATCATGAATACAGAATTACTACGACTGTGTCAAGTGTCTCTGATCTACCGCCAACTATGAACTGGCAGCTCACAACTCAAGTCCTGAATTGTCCAGCAATAAATAAAAATCTCCTTAAGAAAAAGTCAGAGCCGAATATCCAGCTGAAGAGATGAGATCAAATGTTCCTGTAGAAGTTCTCTACTCAGCGGGGGAAGATTATCCATGGATCTAGGCAATAACTAGAGGCTCATCATCAGAGAATCCCTGGATAAGAGGTTCATCTCCATCTGCAGATGTAAACATTTCATTAGTAAATTTGCAAGCTTGCATTTGTTGTTGTTTGTCTGTGTTCACCAGCTGTGTACCCCAACGAAAGGTCTTGTTGACTGTACATTTCTAGACTCTGGCTGTGTTCAAGGACATGAGTTTTGCATGTGCACCCATTTTACAGATCTGGCCTTTGTGTATGCAGGCTGTTGGTTCCTTGCCTCTCAGGCAGATGCACTCAGATTTTGAAGGAAACCCTTAATTAGTTGACGCCTACGACATGCTTTTTAGGAAGGCAGTGGGTCTATTCTTGTTTTACCCCACAATGGTCGCCTTCCCTTGAGTGCTGAACATTGGCCAGATCCCCTGGTAACTTCCTGCAGCGCCATTCTCCTCAGACCATAATGATTCCATTGTGCCTCTGCACTGTTTATTTGCTCCCAAAGGGCCCTCATGACATCCAGCTTGACATTCATCAATTCACTACCAAGAACCAGGAACAAGCTGGAAACACAACATCAGAGAAATTCTACAATACAAGTATTTATGGTCAATGCAATTAGAAGAGTGAGAGCCAAAACCCCCCACCTCTCTCGATAGAAACAAAAAGCATTGAAAGAAGTGAAGAAGAATAGGCTGAATCATCATCCTCATCAGGAGTCATGGTAGTCTAGTGGCTAGCCGTTTTACTGCTGGCTTGAACGTCTTGGGTTCAAATCTAAATCAAGTAAGATCATTTTCAAAATTGACCTTGGCTTCCAGGTCGGCCCAGCCTGAAATGAGTACCTGGTAATGTCCCGTGAAGTAAAGGTGGCCGACATTGTGTTGACTACATCACCCATCAAGTGTTGACTGGTCTATATAAAAAAAAGTTTCTTCTTTTTCTTGGTGTTCGGTTTTGTATGCTGAGGTCAGACCGTCACCTGTGAATCACAGGTCAGTTGCAGGTCCTCCTTGCTTCCCATAGCTTGCTCTGCACACTTTGCTTCTGAGGTCAGGTTTCTCTTTGTAGTTATTAGTGAGCAGGGCCCAGTGTGATCAGGTGTTTGCGGTCCTGTCTGACGTGCATATCTTATCCATCTTTTGATGTTTTCCTCCTACTTGTATCGATGCCTACCTCTTGCTCTCCACTTTTCCTTCCAGAATCGTTAAAAAAATTGTGTTATTTCATTTAATGTGGGCAAAATATTTCAACTGTCTCTTCTTTTATTTGTGCGCTGCACTTACCGTACCGAGGAGCACGCCAAAGGACATGACTCTGTATCCCTGTCTAGACTGATGGACATGGGGGTGCAGCCTGGAGCTGCTAGAAATGAACATTACACTAAGGGGGACAAGACATTTCACCAACACAGAACAGGCGTCATCAGTCGTTTTACACTTGTGGAGCTTTTGAGGAGGAGATCGAAGCATTTACGGATCTGTCCGGAGTGCTGTGAATATAACCCTTTCTAATCACTAATCCCTAATCCTTACATAAGAACTGGCACCATCAGAATGCAAACCCTTCACTGGCTATTGTTAAAGCTGTCAGAGCATGTACGGAAATGTCTCGAGTGCAGTGATGTCAATTCCTGAATTATTCATTTATTCTCACATGATCAAGGCAAAAGGCATGGTATCAGGAAGGAAGGGCAGGGGCCGACCAACACGAAGATGGGCACAGGGTATAAGTGACTCCTTGAGTATGAAAGCACGAGGCGGGAGAGCTGACCAGAGGCCGAGTTTCTTTCAGGCATACCTTGATGAGAGCGACGTTCTGCAAAGGACCTGCTACATGATGATAATGACATGACAGCACTTACCCAGACCCAAGTCTTCAGAGAATGTTGTTGTGCCAGACTGAATATTGTAGTGACTGTTTGCAAATGCCAGGAAGCTTCGCTGGAGCCTCTTGTGCCTGACAATGAAGAACACCAAGCCTGCACTTAAGACAACGATGACAAAGCCCACAGGGACCAGTATCGCAACCAGGTTAGTCTTGCTGATTGAAATCACCTCAGAATCTGGGCTCCTCAGTTCCTGGTGATCTGTTTCAATATGTCACAGGGAAAAATGCTCAATGAAATCTATATTAACATATGTTACAAATATAAATTTAAAGTGATTAAGTAGTGCATGAGTATGCATGTGCATGCATGTGTGCATGAATATGTGTTTATGCATGTATATATCTGTATGAAGAACTGAGGAGGAAAACAGAATGTGCATCACTGGCAAATGTTTTCAAAGTAAGACAATGGAGATGATTTGGACATGTTTGCAGAATGCCTTGCAGAAAGGCAGAAGAGCGACAGCAGTGGAGATCAGCCTTATGTGTGAACAGCGACATGAAGACGATATAGATATAGATAGATGCATGTGTATGCATGTATATGTGTTTATGCCTGTATATATCTGTGTATATCTGTATGTATGTTTTTTTATTAGTACTTTTCCATCTTTCCAGATGATAGTGTTATAACTGCACTTTGAGGATTCATGGGACTCACAGCCCATGGCGATGGTACAAATTAATACAAGTCTAGCCTGTATGCTCAATGCATGCAAAGAGACCTTTACTTACTTTTACTTACACTGACATGGAATGACAATAGCGACTGCTACCCATCAAGCAATGGATTGCAAACTGTTTCTCCCCACGGCACTTAACAGCTAAAGTGGAAGCTGATGATGATTATGACAACTGACTGGTACAGCCACGTCATCCCTGCTCACGCATATGCACGACAGGCTTCTCTATTTGGCTGCCAGGTTACAACAATGACACCCAAATCTTTCATATTATCTGTGGCTATTTTTTTTCCAACAGTCTTTGCACATTTGTAAACATTTTTATGCCCGACCCCCCCCCCCCCCCCCCCCCTTTTCTCTCTCTCTCTCTCTCTTATACATAAACAATCACACCTGTAGTGTATACATATTACAGATTTACTCTTTCTCACACAATACATAATGTGTACACATATAAATGCAAGCACATGCACACATGTAAGCACATACATACATACACACACAATAATGTAGGAATGCACCCACAGAGAAGCATGCACACACACATATTCACACACACACATATACACACACACACATGCATGCACTACCATACAAAAATGCAGGAATTTAAACAAATACCCATACAGAATAGACACAAACAGAAGGGAAAGTACCACCACTTACATGGGAACTCATAAGTTCCAGGTTCTCCAATGATATTCCCAGTTTCTGCCATGGCTGTGATAGTTATAAAGAAGCGTCCATCCTTCCACAGGGAGACAGTGATCTTTGAATCTTTGGTCCTGTTGGTTATCTCAACATCATCACATTTTGTCTTCACCATGAAATGCTGTCAAAGAGGGTATCATATTTATTATTTTAAAAAGAAAATGTATTTCAGTTTGTGTTTCTAGACCTGCATGACCAAAATCTCAAGTATGAGAATCTTCTTCCTCTTTGTTCATGGGTTGTAAGATCCAATGGAAAGTCCTTGTTGTTCATTCATTTGGGCTTTGGCTTTGTGCCAGGGCCTGAGTTTTGTGTGAGCATCCATTTTACTGGCTCGTCTGTGAGCAGTTGGTTGTTTCTTGCCACTGCGGCAGATGCACTCTGACTTTAAAGGAAGTCCCCAATAAGTCGACTCATACGACATGTGTGTTGGAGAAGCAGTGGGTCTATTCTTGTTTCCCACAAAATTGGGGTCCTGAAACCCACATGGGGAGTATGAGAATCAAACAGCTACAAACCCTAGAAACACTGTTAAACCATATAACCCAGTATTTCCCAACTTTTGTTAGTCGCTGTGCCTTTTTTCAATTAAAATTTTTCCATGGCGCCCTAACCTAAGTGAAAGTATGACTATTCGTATATAAGATAAACAAATAAATAAATAAATAATAAACCCCGTGTATCTTTCAATATTTTGCAGCGCCCCTGTGAAGAGGTTGCGGCTCCCCGGGATGCGCAGTTTGGGAATCACTGATATAGCCATCACTTTGTATACAGAACTTTTCAGTGTTGCCAATATTTCTGTGGTCCATCATTTGTGTGGTTGAAATCTGGCTCTGTTGCTATTGTATCTCTATGAGACCTTTTTATGATAACATGTTAAAATTCTGGCAATCATTCTCAAGGACCTTGTACAACTGACTGCATTTTGCAGTAAAATTTCCCATGGCACAAGGTAGCCAGTCTCACATTAACCTTCCCAAGCTGATTTATTGTTACCATATGTATGGTAGGGTCCAAAACTGCTATCCTCTGCTTCCATCTAAAATGGATACCAGAGCCTCTTCTTGCAACATTAACCTTCCCAAGCTGATTGATTGTTACCATATGTATGGTAGGGTACAAAAATGCTATCCACTGCTTTCATCTGACATGGATACCAGAGCCTCTTCTTGCAACATTAACTTTCCCAAGCTGATTGATTGTTACCATATGTATGGTAGGGTACAAAACTGCTATCCTCTGCTTCCATCTGACATGGATACCAGAGCCTCTTCTTGCACCAATTAGGCTGACCTCAGAGATATTTAAATATGAAAACAAAATGCCAGGAGGATTTGAATCCTGGGTTCACAAGGCTAGTTGGTGAATGCTCTGCAAACTGTACTACTACTATGATTCTGCATCCTGTAATGTACCTAAAGAAAAGAGTGATTACCTTGAATTTATTTTCTTTGTCTGCAGCCGGGGGGAACGTCCAGAATATAGTTGCATTCTTCCCATCAAACACTGGCACTATATTGAAGGGTTTTCCCACATAAGCTGTGTAGAAAGATGTCAATTGCAGTCAAAAATAGGGTGTTAAAGTGCTGTGTAGAACTTGTAAAGCTGAATGCATGCGAGACAAGGAAAAAAAATGCAGACACTGAAAAACATGTATTGTTAACAGACAGGTTTTTCTTCTTCAAGAATGCAATGAAAAAAAAAAAAGTAAAGCTTCCTTTTCCACACCTTTAGGCCTATAGGGCATACAGAGCTAGACCTATATTTTTAATGACCAATCGGCACAAGAAAGGACATGTGGTCAGCATCACACCGGTCGCCTTTACTTCCTGGGACTGCACACGGCACCCACTCAATGTTGGGTCAACCTGGGAGTTATGGCCATTTTTGAAAAAAAAATCCGGCTCCGCCATGGAGTGAATCCACTACCTTCCAAGAATGCAATGATTATGGAACAAAAGAAACACAAATGAGGCAGCCCTCCATGAGCCAGATGAAAAACCACAAACTGATTACAGAAACTCTAAGTATGCATGTAAATTAGTGTGTGGACATGTCAGGTGAAGAAATTGACTAAAAAAATTGTTGACAACTTGCAGAACTGATGTGAAAAAAACAAAAAAAACAGCAAGAGGGAATCACAGAAATAACAATCTGGATGGCCCGGATGAGGCAGGGCTAGAACACTGTCCTAAACCATGACTCTTATAACCATGGCATGGCAAATCATGACCGCCTTCACTTACTGGCATGGCACATGATAATAATGATGATGATGATGCAAAGAGAAGACCTTTCATTTGCCTTCTGCGTGTAATGGGAGGTACAGTGACTAGATGTTTGAGAATAGCACAGACAGAGATGTCAATTCTGCCTTGATTGTCAGAAATACATGCATTGGCTATGAAAGCACAGAGGGCTGGAGAACTGGCCAGAGAAAGAGAGACATGCAATGAGCGCGACGTTCTATAAAGGACCTGCTGATTGATGATGATGATTATGCTCAGAAGTATTAAAATGGAGAGAGACTGGTTTCAACATCGTCATCAAGAGTCTTGCTGACTGACGTGGGCGATTATGCCTCTCTGCCACCTATGAGTTTCAACAGTGTGTATTAGTTCTTGTACCATGCCATGACGCAAGGCTGTCATGTGTTTCCTCATGCTGTCTTCCTTTATCTCTTTTTTCCACAGATCTTTCCAGAGGGTCACAACATGTTCCAGTTTTCTTCTTCTCATAACGTGACCAAAAAATGTCTGTCTTCTTCTGATGTTTATGACAGGTTTAGGGGCTGCCTTGAAGGGGCCACAGTGAGGGGGAAAGTTGTGGGTTCATTTCACTGCTGTACTCATTAGTTCATGGGTGTAAATTTTTTTCAGAGATCCCTGGGGACTGTTGCTGGAGCTGCTGAGTTTGTTATCTGTGCCACTCTCTTGGCAGGCAGCTAGCCATTCTGCGAAGGGAGCCGAGTCATATGGGGTAAAACTCGATGCAATGAAGCCGATCCTCTCCCATCAGGGCATGCTAGAAAACCACTTTGTCCATTGCCATCCTTTTCCCATCATTGATCAACTGCATGTCAACCTCAATTATTTCAGATAAAAACATTTACAGCGAGCAAAGTCACACAATGGCACTACCAGAAGACACCCTTGGGCTGGTGGCATCATCATAATCCAGAGGTCTTTTGAAGAATGCCATGCTCCTCGCGGTCTGCCTGAAACTGTTGCCAGCTATCCAGCCTCAGCACTTTCCTAAACAAGATTTCATTTAAATCATATACCCATATTTATGCTGGTTGGCCAGTGCCTTTCTTTCCTTCTGCTATTATTTTACCAATCCGCCGTGGTGCTTGATATAGCCAAAATATTTAAGTTTTTAAATGTTAAATGTTGAATTAAGAATTGACATCACATCACTCGGGACACTCCCATAAGTGCTCAGTCCCCATCTCCAGTAGCAAGCGAAGAGTTCCAATTCCGATGGTACCAGTGACCGTCTGATTATATATCTGTCTCATCCTTCCCCTGAGTGTCGAGCGTCGGCCAGATCCTGTGGTAACTCCTCACAGCGCCATTCTCCTTACACAGTAATGATCTATCTGCACCTCCGCACTATTTACTTGCTCCCAAAGGGCCCTCACAATATCTAACTTGTCATACAGAAATTCACCAAGTGGTGCACAGCCAGCATTTCAGTTTCTGAAACAGGATGCTGCTTACTAGGCAATCTTCCATGATAAGTTTCTTGGAATAATAATGTGGTAGTTTTTGCTGGTGATCCCTGGGGACTGTCACCGGAGCTACAGAGTTTGTTCTCAGTGCCACTACAGAGTTTGTTCTCTGTGCCACTCTCTTGGCAGGCGGCTAGCCGTTCTGTGGAGAGAGACCAAGTCATATGGGGTAAACCCTGGCGCAATGAAGTCGATCCTTTCGACTTTAACCTTTTCATTTTTTAACCTAGGTAAAATTAACACCTGTAAAATGAGATGCCTGAGAAAAATTGCTGACTTAACCATCCCAGACAAAAAATTCAAATGATATATCAGACAGACTGTAGGAAAAACACCATGCAGCAAAATTCACTGAGAAACAGAAGATCAGATGGTTTGGTCATTGAGTAAGAATGCTGCTAGAATAACTACCAATGAAGGCGCTACACATGAAAAGATAAGCAAGTGAAAGCAAGAGGCCGCTCTAGGAGAAGATGGACTGATGACATTAAAGAGCTTTCACATCTACATGGCATGACAAAAGACAATGCTGTCCATCAAGCAATGGATCACTAACTATTCCTCCCCACAACGCTTAATGGCAGAATGGAAAGTGATGATGATGATGATGAATGATAATGAGCCAGTTTAAATCTATGTTCAGATACTGAATATGTAAGAATTTTTTGCATTCTTCGTCCCTGATACTCTAAGACTGAGGTTTGAACAACGGATCAACATCATGGCATACAGGTAGTAACCCATAAGTGCCCCATTCTTCTTCTAACTCAAGTCTGAGTCCGAAAAAGCTCAGTATAGTGCATAGGCTTTGTTGCACCGGCGAGGATTCTGAAATATTTTGGATAGATACCCTAAGAGTCTTCCAGTAATACTGAAGTTTAGAAGTTTAATTATCTACTTACGGATTACTGTTGAATATGGAGCAGTTTCTTGTGATCCACGCTGATCAGTTCTGACAGTAAATACATAGGAAGTTCCATCTTGATACTCTAAGACTGAGGTTTGAACAACGGATCAACATCATGGCATACAGGTAGTAACCCATAAGTGCCCCATTCTTCTTCTAACTCAAGTCTGAGTCCGAAAAAGCTCAGTATAGTGCATAGGCTTTGTTGCACCGGCGAGGATTCTGAAATATTTTGGATAGATACCCTAAGAGTCTTCCAGTAATACTGAAGTTTAGAAGTTTAATTATCTACTTACGGATTACTGTTGAATATGGAGCAGTTTCTTGTGATCCACGCTGATCAGTTCTGACAGTAAATACATAGGAAGTTCCATCTTGCACGTATGGAAGGAAGAATTCTTGTTTGTCAATGATATAGTCAGCTGCTTCTTTCTCACCCACCTTCATACGGACTATATAGCCCTGAAAGATAAGTTAAAGTTCAACATTCATCAGTTTAGTTTGCCCTGTGGGTTCTGAGGTCCCATTTTGGGGGGGGGGGGGGGGGAAAGAGAATAGACCTAGTGACAACTAGGAGCCAGTTTAGGGACTAGAGCTTGTCTGTGGATTTGAAAGTCATGAGTTCAAATCTGAAAGAAGCCTGACATGTTTTTTTTTTAAATAATGGTTTTGGCTCCCATGTTGACCCAGTCCTAAATGAGTAGCCAGGTAAAGTCCTGGGAAGTAAAGGTGGCTGGTGTGATGTTGACCACATCATCTACAGAATGCTTACTGATCTATAAAATACAGGCATATATCCAGCAGAGAAGCCACCGTGGTGTAGTGGCTAGATGCAGGCCTACGGATCGGAATGTCATGCGTTCGGGCCCTGATGGAGTCAGACATGACCTTGGCTTCCAGGTGGATACAGCCTTGAATGGGTCCCAGGTACAGCCATGGGAATTAAATGTCGCTGGCATGATATTGACCACGTCACCCACCAAGTGCTGACTGATCTATAAAATATAGGTCTAGCCCTATATGCCCAATGCCCCAGAAGGTGTGGGCAAGAGTCCTTTACTACTTTAGCAGTGACAACCGGCAAACAATGGGGAAAAGAAAGCAGGGGGGAATGGCAAAAGCATTAACATCTGGAAGACTGGATAATATGGAAACATGGAGAAGGCAATTACTAATAAACAACAAACATTCATTAACTGGTGCCTATGCAGTATAGAGGAAATAAAATGGTATGATAGAATCACTAGTGAAGAGCTTAGGGAGAGAACTAAACAAGTTCCAGTTGACTGAGAGGTGAAGAAAAGACGTACATGGAGAAAACCTGAGAACAATATAACTAGAATGTCTTTGCACTGGAATCCACAGGGGCATAGAAATAAAGGAAGACGTAAAAAAAAATATATGTAGTAGGGAGCTAGAGAGTGAAGTTAAAAAGATGGGTAGGACAATGGGAACAGCTGCATGTGATAGTAAAGGACAGAACGACTTGGTGTGAGTTGGTAAAGGGCCTATGTTTCATTGAAGGCTAGAAAAGAAATTTAGGGAAGAAGAAAAAGTGATCAGTTAGGAGTCTGCTGAAAGACAGATAGTGCAGTCTAGAAGTAAACCACAATATAATGTGCCAAACGCCCTGTTTCAGGCCCAAATGAAGAGGACAAAAGAAGATGCATGAAAGACAGATACTGCAGTCTAGAAGTAAATCACAATATAACGTGCCAACCACCATTTTTTAAGGCTAAATGAAGAGGAAGCAGAAGAAGTGGAAGATACATGGAAGACAGATACTGCAGTCTAGAAGTAATCCACAATATAATGTGCCAACTGCCCTGTTTTAAGGCCACATGAAGAGGATGCAGAAGAAGCAGGAGATTCTCTAATAACCCCCAAGATTAGAATGATGTAAGAAATACTGCCAATCTGGTCAATATATATATATATATATATATATATATATATATATATATATATATATATATATATATATATATATATATATATATATATATATATATATATATATATATATATATATATATATATTTCCTCGACATACAACCTATAATTCTTATGACCATCCACACTTACAAACACAGAGTTGAGTTGAGATGAGTCAAGAATTGGCATCACAGCACTCAGGGCATTCCTATGCATGCTCCGTCCTCATCTTCAGCAGCCAGCACAAAGTTCCAATATTGATGGTACCGGTCACAATCTAGCTATATGTCCGTCTTGCCTTTCCTCTGAGTGTAGTGAGCCGGTCAGACCCTCTGGTTACACCCAGGTGCCTCATTCTCTTCAGGCCATAATAATCTTGTTTCTCTACTGATTTCGTTGCTTGTTCCCAAAGAGCCTATTCACATATACTTACAACCACACCCAAAAAAAAAAAATCACAAAAAAATAAAAAGATAGCGACAACTGTAGGGTTAAAAAGTTCCTTGAACTGATATAATAGAGTACATATTATGTACAAACAAAGACTGAAAGTTTGTGTCTAATGTAAAATTGTTATAACCTGCCTGCTTCGCTGTGCTTTTTTTAATGGCCAAAATTATTTGGAAGCACTAGCACACAAAACTGTCTTCCGCTTGATGAATAAGTGTATGTATGACAACTTAGTCCCGTCCATTTCTTGATGCTGTCATTCCAGGTTCTTCTTTGTCCTCCTCTTCTTTAGTTACCCTTAATGTTCCTTGAAGTACACGTACAGTCTTTGCAATCAAATAATTTCCCACCATATGCCCAAACCAAGCTAGCTTGCGACTTTTCACCACTGCCAAGAGAGGCTCCTGATGTCCTGCAAGGTTCAGTTTGTTAGCTAGCAAATGACCAAAAAAAAAATGTGTGTGGCAGTCAAACAGCGAAAAACTTACTTCTGCTAGTGGTGAATTCTCTGAGCAAGACGGGTTCCAAGTGATGTTCATGCTAAAGTGTTCCTGGACCCGCGTCACATTCACTCGAACATTCTTAGGTGGGGCTGTGATGTCTGAAATCACATTTGCATGTATTCATTAATAAAGAGCAGAAACTGAGTTCAGCATTCAAGGCTATGCAATGCAGATACTAAACAGCATGAAGAACCAATGGCACAACACTTGCGAGCAACGACTTTGAGATGATGCATCTTTCCTTTGGCAATTTATGGATGTGAATCGCGGACTCCATTTAGTCACTGAAGGGAAAAAAATCAGAGCCTGTGAACTGATATGCTAAAGAAAAATGATGAAGAAAAACTGTAATGTTTACTATCTGCATTTGCTCTTGCACTTATGCATGTTGTGAATCTGGACTCACAATCAACAAAAATAAGATACAAATTATAGTGCAAGGTGCTAATGAAAGACCAGCGGTCAAACACTGATAGTGAAGAGCTGGAGACAGTTGACCAATTTACATATCTGGGATCCACAATGAATAAGAAACTATTACTGGATTAAGAAATCAACATCAGGATAGGTAATGCAGCAACAACAATGAGCAGACTGACAACATTTTTAGGAGAATAGGAAGCTTATGATGAAAACAAAAACTCCTGTCTGTTAGACTTGTGTTCTCAGCACTCCGTTTTAATGACAGTGAAACTTGGCCAACTTTTTCGCACCAGGAGAAGCAGCAAAAGAACACTCATATGTGATGCCTAAGTAAGAATACCTGGCATTAAGTGCCAAGACAAGATCAGAAATACTGAGGCAGTGGAAAGAGCAGTTATCACAACAGATTTCTCACAGGCATGGGTGGCTGGGGTCAAACCTAGAGAATGGAGGATGGTAGAGTCCCTAAAAACATCCTCTGTGGTGAATTACAAATAGGCAAAAAATAACAAAGTCAGCCTCTACTATGATACACAGATCTTTAGAAATGGGACATGAATGATATAGGTATTGAGGTCAATATGTGGGAACAAAGTGCCAGGGACCGAGTTGTTGTTTTTTTCAATTTTTCTTTAGGGGGAAAATCAGGAAAAGAATGTGAATAAAGTGAAAAAATGATTGCAGATAAGTTGAGAGCTGGGCATCTGAGAAGAAGCACACTAGACACATGTGATGGCAACAAAGGTTCTCAAATACCATGTTCTAACTGTGGATGGCTTTTCTTAACAAGGGTGGGGTCTTGCTAGTCACAATCACCATCACACATGGGCTGGCTGTGATTCCCACATCTTCCCACAGCACAATATAACACTATCATCTGGAAAAATGGAAAGGTGCCAACATGTAGGTAGGTAAGTAGGTAGAATGATACATAGATAGACAGAACACAGACAAACAGATTGACAGAAAGATAGACAGATCTAGGTGGATGGATGGACAGCCTGACAGACGGATGGAGACACAAAAATACAGGTAGACAAGACAGATTCTCACCTTCCATAGTTGAAATATTCCTGAGGTCAGTGAAAGGGCAAGTCAGGAATGTAGGCTGGATCCAGACCAAGTATTTCTCACAAGCAAACAGGCCAGCCAGCTCATGTGAGGTTTGTGAGGTTGTCAGGTTTACTGCTGCACTGTTCTCATCGTGTGTGTAATGGATGAAAAATTGCTGCCAATGAGAAACGTTATACAAATTATTATGCATTCAGAATAACATATTGCAATGTTTAACACACACACACACCCATTATAGTTATATAATGAACAAATACACAAACTTTATTTTCAAAGGTTTCAGAAGCGCACACGGAGTGTTACTTAAACAATGGAATGAAACCTGGCATCAGAAGGAATAAAATTTCTTCTACTTCACAATCACCACCTGTAAACTCTAGCAAAAATTTCTCATTGTTTGTCCTCCTCTGAATTTAGTCTCGTTCCAGAACCCCAGTGTTGGCACATCCGTTTCACAGATCTGATTTTTCTGTATGCAGACTGCTGGTTCCTTGCCTCTCAGGCAGATGCGCTCTGACTGCAACGAAAGCCTCCAATAAGTCAACTCTTACGACATGCTTGTTGGAAAGGCAGTAAGTCTATTCTTGTTTTCCCTACAAAAAGTGCCCCGGAATCCACACGGGGAGAATCACATTAAGAAACTGGAAAGCATTTGTTGAAGTCGTCGATGAATAATTTTTTTTCCTGACATAGTTTTTTTTTCAGTTCTAATGTAAAATAAAACAACAACAAAACACACTTTGCAGTGAACAATGGCACTTCCCCCCCCCCCCTTCATGGTGAGAACTGTTATCCCTTTTTTCTAAAAAAAAAGCAAAAGCCTTGCTCTTTATGCTTTATTTTAGCACTACCTCCAGCATCACATTTCTTAAAATTTGTATTTGTTTCATGCTGGTCCAACCTCAAGCAGATATCTGGAAATGTCCTGGGAAGCAAAGGTGGCCACCATGATGTTGACATCACCACTGAGTGCAGACTATAAAAATATGTGTCACATACAATATATCTAATGTGCCAAAAGTTAGAAAAGGGTCCTTTATGTTTACATTTTACAATATTTCAATTTTGCCATAAAGTTTTGTGATGTTTTTGTATACAATCTAGTGATTACATGTCAGGGAACACAAGTTACTCAACTATTCATACATCTAAAATCCAGAGAGAATTATCCTGGTCAATCTATGCTTGCAGTCTTCTTCTTCTTCTTCTTCTTCACTTCCTCTTTTACCGCTGTGGGTGTCGAGGGAGATATAAGGTTCTGTTTCTGGCTCTTCTGGCAGCCTCGACCATAGGCACATCGTGCTGTTATCCTTCCATCTTGTTCTTGGTCTACCTCTTGCTCTACGACCTTCTTCTCTTTCCATGTATGCTTTGTATGGTATGGTGTCACAAGGCATTCTCTCTAAGTGGGCAAACCATTTCACTTGCTGTCTTTGTATGTAATTTAGAATTGGTTCTGTGCCAACTTTTTCTCTTATGATCTCATTCCTGATCTTATCTCTTATGGTCACTCCTACAGCCCTTCTCAGACATCTCATTTCCATGGTTACTAATTTTCTTTTATGGTTTGTTGTGAGTGACAGTCACCAGGCTAATTAGTGAAAAGCACAAGATAAAGACACAATTATGAATGTATGTAAGTTTTACCCCACCAGGACATCAAACAAAGCGTTAAACACCCAATGACACAAAATGCCACCATGCGGATGAGAATCACCCGTGCAGAGGTCCCAGAAACCCCTTTCAGCCAATAGGCCATAATTATGGCCCTGCTATTTTTAGGGCTATTTTTAGACAGGGTTGCGCTCCAAATAACAAAATATTTCATCCCACATGGGGACGACTAATTATGAAGTAACATTTATGTAGTGGTGCCTTCAATTATTGTATTTTTCAGTGTATAAGACAATGTTTTCCCAAATTTTTAAGTTTAAATTGGGGATTGTCTTATACACAGAATGTGTTTAACACATTTATGTTGTAATTTTTGGATTTAAAAAAAATAGGAGCTGTCATATAAAGGGGAGTATCTTATACATTGGGAGAGGGGAGGGGTGGGATGTGGTACTGACTATAGCATACGGATCTCCGTGTGTTAGGTCATACTTGAGATAAATCTGTGTCTACAGTCACTAAATGTTTTCCCAAATTTTTAAGTTTAAATTGGGGATTGTCTTATACACAGAATGTGTTTAACACATTTATGTTGTAATTTTTGGATTAAAAAAAAAATAGGAGCTGTCATATAAAGGAGAGTATCTTATACACTGGGGAGGGGGGGGGGGGGGGGGGGGGGAGGGGTGGGATGTGGTACTGACTATAGCATACGGACCTCCGTGTGTTAGGTCATACTTGAGTACTTGAGATAAATCTGTGTCAACAGTCACTAAGCTAATTAATGAAAAGCACAAGATAAAGGAACGTTTCTGTAGTGGTGTGTCCAGTTACTTGCTTTCGCACACAGACCTCCGTGTGTAAAGACATAACTTGAGTTAAATCTGTGTTGGCAGTCACTAAGCTAATTAGTGAAAAGCACAAGATAAAGATTAAGGGGGCAGCGTTAGCGCAGTCAATAAGAGATCTCGCTTTTAAATCCAGCTGCGACTCGCTGCAGCCCACGGCTGGTGTTCGAAACCGGGCAGTTCCTCGGGTTTCACCCAGCCTCTAGGTAATGGGTACCAGAGTTAATACTCTGGGGTAAATGGAGGAACGTCGCTGTAGCTACAGAGTTGCATGCGGATGGCGACACAGGCAAACAGTGTGTGCAATGAATCTAGTTCACATCTCCTGACTTCACCGTTACCTTGTTACAAGATAAATAAACGATTATATGGTGATGTCTCTAATTACTTACTTTCGCATATGGACCTCCATGTGTTAAGTTATACTTGAGTAAAATCTGTGTTGGTCCTACCAGGTCAATATCACTGAAAACAACGGTTGGTTTTGTTCCTGGGGATTTTAAAAGCAGAGAATTAGATCATCACATCCTAATCCCTCTTTCAATAAACCCCCATCAATGGAGATTAGAGAAAAAAATTCCCAAATGCTAAGTAGAACCACTTTTAACATATGGCTGTGAATATTGTACAATTAATCAACAAGCCAAACAATTTTCTTGAGGAATTAGAGATGTAGTTTTATAGAAAAATTCTTAAAATATATTTAAAAAAAAAAATTGCAATTAAGATGTTTTAAAAGAGGCTATGACCCAAAACCACTTATCATTTTCATCAAAAGAAGACAGTCCCTGTCTGACTACCTTATAGGAAGAGAAAAATTAGAACAAATAAAGTTCCAGAATTTGACTTCTGCGTACACATCTGTTTTACAGCACTGGCTTATTTATATGCAGGCTGCTGGTTCCTCAGCTCTCAGACAGATGCATTCCGACTCCGAAGGAAAAACCCCTAAGACATTAAACATTCAGGTGGAATGACAACAAACAGTGCCACCCATCAAGAGCTAGACCAACCCCATGACACTTAAGGGCAAAAGCGGAAGATAGTTATGACTAACCTTCTCCCTTTGAGAAGCTGCAAACCTGGCACATCCATCAGTGACTAATCTTCGTAAATGCTATTCAACCGGCACTGCTGCAGTGACGTGTCCCAAGAAGCCTAATTACCAGCAGTAGTTCTGTTTGCACCTGTGCAGTCTAGGTCTCCGATTTTACATTTACTAAAAACAGCATTTTGATTGGGGCAAAGGGGGTGTCTGTGGCTTAGGCGTTGCGAATGTGCTTCGTAATGCCGGGGTGCTGGGTTCGATCCCTGCTGCGGATGATTTGTCTTGCGCTGGTTTCGACAGTGGTGCCGACAGCTAACCGTTCAGTAAGCAATGGCAAACTACTGTAAGTAAAATTTGCCTAGAAAAACCACAACAGCCAATGAATGCTGGGGTTGGTTCTGCTACGTCCTGTAAAGGATACGCAATTAACTAAGAGGGTGTATTGTTGGGAAGGGGAGGGGGGGGAGAATGTGGCTCTTTGAAGGGCCATTGTAATGTCACAGTTTAGCTTGACCAGGCAGATGAACAGCGATAATGTCAAGGAGTCAAGTAAGAGTTATTTAGATTTTTTTATATCCAAGGGAGTGAAATCTATTTAATTCTCTGCTTCATTCATATTTATTTCCCCCCTTCATTTATATAGGTGAATATTTTTTTTTTTAATGACTTTTAAGGAATTGGCAGAACCATATCATATTTTTCTCCCAAGGGGTTACCGGGGCAAAAGGGTTAATTACTTAAGAAATTCCAGCATTATATGCTAGATGCACCTTCAGGGGTCCTTTACTCTGCTTAATTACTTGATAAATCTTCTTTCTAAAGTCCATGCTATGTAGTGTTGGTAGTCATGTCTATCCACAACCTTCTGTCTCGTGTACTTTCAATCAACTCTGACAAAGAAGATCCTCTATGCCATGATGTAAAACTGTCCTGCACCTGCCCCTCCTCCCCTCCAACTTTCCTACTGTGATGAGGTACTTCAGTTTTCTCCTTCTCATCACATGATCAAAGAATGTAGACTGTCTATTTTACCTTGTGTCACCTGTCGCTCTGCCTCTTCTCCACTCCAACTTTCCTACTGTCATGAGGTACTCCAGTTTTCTCCTTCTCATCACATGATCGAAGAATGCAAACTGTCTTTTTACCTTGTGTTACTTGTTATGCGTACTGACATTCTAGCAGATCTGTCAACCCATTTGTGCTCAGTTCTCCAATGCAGCAACCACCTCAGTAGCTCTATTCTCACCACACCCAGTAGGGGTTGGTTAGCTTATCTTCTTTCTTTGCTCCACAACCAGTTCCTGCCAGCTTGTCCTCGTTTAATACACATTTCCAACTGGCAATTCATCATCTCTGACCTCCTTTGTCTCAAGGCCTCTGGAATGCAGTGCCTTCAGTATGTCTGCCCTGTCCATACCTCTTCCTTCACTAACCACTACACATCTGGCATGTCTGCCGGCTCCATCATTTTCTTTCACCCTGGCATATCCTGTTGTGTACGGCTAAGAGACTGTTTCTTGAGGTAAGATTTCTGGATGCTGTCAACCCATCTGAGGTGAAGTTTGCCAGTCTTGACCTTCTTCAAACAAAAACACACAAAAACTCTTATGAAAAGTTTCCAGAATGCACTACCTTTCAAATGAACCTCTCCGTTCTCCATTGTGGTGCCATAGGGAAGAATCTTTGGACCAAAACTGTGGTCCGCATGCACAGTCTGCAAACTGACATACACGACGGTTCCAGGACACAAACCAGTCACTGCAATAACAACAACAAAATAATAATAACAACATAATAATGACATCATTTATTAATTCCCAGGTCAAATTATAACATTACCACACACACACACAAAAAAGGAATTCATTAACTATAATAAAGTTAAAGTGAAAGTTAGTAACTTTTTTTTAAAATTAGTAACCACGGAAATGAGATGTCTGAGAAGGGCTGTAGGAGTGACAATAAGAGATAAGATCAGGAATGAGATCATAAGAGAACAAGTCGGCATAGAACCAATTCTGGATTACATACAAAGACAGCAAGTGAAATGGTTTGCCCACTTAGAGAGAATGCCTTGTGACACCATACTATACAAAGCATACATGGAAAGAGAAGAAGGACGTAGAGCACGGGGTAGTCCAAGAACAAGATGGAAGGATAACATCAGAGAAACTCTAAAACAGCACGATGTGCCTATGGTCGAGGCAGCCAGAAGAGCTAGAAACAGAACCTTATATCTCCCTCGACACCCACAGCGGTAAAAGAGGAAGTGAAGAAGAAGAAGAAGAAGAAAGTTAGTGAGAAGCAGCTGGCTGAATAGTTAAATGCTGAGCTCTAATGTGGAAGACCTGGGTTCGAATCCTGGGTAAGGTTGGGCATTATTTTCTGTCTGGGGCAAAATAAAATTCTCACCTGTACAGTCCGCGGCGATATCATAAGCCATGGGGCCCTAAATCCTCAGGCCCAGAGAACCCCTGCCTACACCGCAACGGTGGTATAATTAAGGCAGTAATTGGCAGAAAGTTAGTCGCAAGTAAAGATGGCCACCTCATGCTGGCCACATCGCACGCTGAAGGCTGATTGGTCAGTAAAACTATGGGCTGAATGCTCAATGTGTTGACAGTGTCTTTTACTTTGACCATATTCTAATTTATGTCTCAAAGCCTGAAAATGTAGGCTTTGGGGATGAGCTGAGTTGAGTTGCTTCAAGAATTGACATCACAGCGCCCGAGGCATTCCCATAGGTGCTCCGTCCCCATCCTCAGCAGCCAGCGCAGAGTCCCAATACTAATGGTGCCGGTCGTAGTCTGGCTATATGTCCGTCTTGCCTTTCCTCTAACCGTAGTCTGACGGCTGAACCCCCAGGTATTTGGCGATGAATATCACCACAGCACTTCAGACAGACCCAAAGGCGGTCAGGTACCCTCTTTAATAGCCTCCCAAGCATAATATGACTGATCATACCCATTCCATATTGATTAATCAAATCTCCTGTACCATTTTTGATAGGTTCATGTCTACCACCTCAGAGTGTACCCCATTTGCACCAGTTTGGACAGTGATTCAGATTCATGTTTATTATCTCCTTGGTCATCTGTGCCTTTACTTTACATTACTTTAGTTTGCCTTACTCTACTTTACATTACTTTAGTTTGCCTTACTCTACTTTACATTACTTTAGTTTGCCTTACTCTACTTTACATTACTTTAGTTTGCCTTACTCTACTTTACATTACTTCAGTACTGCAAAAGAGCCTCCACCTGTGGTGTAGCAGCTAGACGCTAGCCTGCGGGTCTGAAGGTCGTGGGTTCAAATCCGGAGGGTGCTGGACTTTTCCTAAATTTAAATGACCGTGGCTCCCAAGTCAACTCAGTCTTAAATGGATACCAAGCAAAAGTCCTGGGAAGTAAAGGCAGCCAGCATAATGTTAAGCATTTTCACCAAGTGTTGATTAATCTATAAAATATTGGTCCAGTCCTGTATGCCCAATATGCCTGAAGATGTGGAAAAGCGTCCTTTACCTACTAATGTCTTTCTTCTTCTGCCCTTGAAATGGCAGTTGGCAAGTTGTGCTGTGGTTTACAGCTAGGCTGTAATATCTGTGCCATCTGACCCAACACATCCGATTTCAGCAAACATCTAGTTAGTCGCCTTTTATGACATGCTTGTTGGAGGCAATCATCTTGCGCTGGTTTGGCCAGTGGTACCGAGAGCTGACCGTTCAGAGGTGATGGCCCGTTCAAAAAGTGATGGCCCGTTCAGAAAGTGACGGCAAACTCCTGAATGTCAAAATTTGCCTAGAAAAACCACAACAACCAAAATATGCTGGGGTTTGTTCAGCATTGTCCTGTGAAGAATACAAAACTAATTTTGTTGGACCTCGGGGGCCGTGGTCCCCCCCCCCCCCCCCCCCACTAAAAAAAGGGGCACCAGGACCAATATGGGAAATCTAGTACAGTACATTTAATTCCTTGACTTACCAGCAACATTTGTCACAAGCTGGCAACATGCAGAATTCCTGACTGTGGCTGATGGAAAATGACATCATCTAGAAGATATGTCTATTCTTAGCCCCCCCCTTCCCCAACAGAGTACCAGAACCCACATGGTGAAACTGCTGTATTTTATTCCCTGACTTATCAGCGACACTTGTCTGGGAGCCAGCAACATGCAGCATCATGACACTGACTGTGGCAGCCAGAAAATGGCATCCCCTAGAAGCTGTAGGCCTATCCTTCTCCCCCCCCCCCCTGCCCCAGTCCATCCCCTCTCCTAAATTGGGGCCACAGAACCCACATGCGGGAAACTACTATATTTACTTTCCCGACTTACTTACCAGCGACACTTGTCTGGGAGCTGGCAGCATGCAGAATCATATCGCTGACTGTGGCTGCCGGAAAGTTGGCGTCCTCTTGAAACCGTACAGTGATCTGGTAACCAGTCACGTTGGTGGCTTTATTCCATTTCAGAGTGAAGCCAGTCTCTGTCAGATCACTGACTGTGATATTGAGGTCTGTGTCCACGGCAGGGACCACTTTGACTGTTGACTTTTCTGAAGCTGCGCTCTCGCCAGCTAGGGTTGATGCTGTGACCTTTAACAGGATATACAAAGTAATATAAGGATACTCTCTTTAATGTGTTTCCAGACTGTAACAGCAGAAGTGTTTGTGTATTCTGATTGCTTTAATAACTCTTTTAAAACTGTCTATACTGTCTGTAGTTTTCCCCCTTTCTCTTCTCACCATTTCTCCTTTTCTCTAGTGTGGTTCTGTCCCTTACAGGTTAGTGAATGTGTTTCACAATTTCATGATCCTTGACTATCAGAGTTCAATTTTCTAGACATGCAGTTTATTAAAACTAAAAAAAAAAAAACATTTTTGTGACTTGTGGACACTGGTTTGAGAGTTGCACTGTGGAAGAAACTGAGACCTCACCAGGTAATATTCCCAAAATCAGCAGTAGGCATACTGCACAGTTCCATTTCCCCTTTGCGGGAGGGTGATGGGGAGGGAGGAGATAAGAGGGCGAAGGTTTTTTGAGCCACAATGGACTGTGCAGGTCAAGATTTTACTTCGGTCCCTGAAAAAAACTCCATAAACTTAACAAGGCTCTGAAACCAGTTTTTCCAGACAAGAGCCCAGCGTTCTAACTATTTGGACAGCTCCTTCCACATGTTGCAACTTTACTTTTCTCTTTTTTCTGTCAATCTTCAATCTGGCATTAGTAGTACAGAGTTGCAAAACAGATGCATTATAAAGTGTTTTTGTGTGTTATCTACTGCTGCATAAACAAATGCATTATAAAGTGTTTTTGTGTTATCTACTGCTGCATTAACAAATGCATTATAAAGTGTTTTTGTGTTATCTACTGATGCATATATAAACGCATTATATAGTGTTTTTGTGTGTTATTTACTGATGCATATATAAATGCATTATATAGTGTTTTTGTGTGTTATTTACTGATGCATATATAAATGCATTATATAGTGTTTTTGTGTGTTATTTACTGATGCATATATAAATGCATTATATAGTGTTTTTGTGTGTTATCTACTGATGCATATATAAATGCATTATATAGTGTTTTTGTGTGTTATCTACTGATGCATATATAAATGCATTATAAAGTGTTTTTGTGTGTTATCTACTGCTGCATAAACAAATGCATTATAAAGTGTTTTTGTGTTATCTACTGATGCATATATAAATGCATTATATAGTGTTTTTGTGTGTTATTTACTGATGCATATATAAATGCATTATATAGTGTTTTTGTGTGTTATTTACTGATGCATATATAAATGCATTATATAGTGTTTTTGTGTGTTATTTACTGATGCATATATAAATGCATTATAAAGTGTTTTTGTGTGTTATCTACTGCTGCATAAACAAATGCATTATAAAGTGTTTTTGTGTTATCTACTGATGCATATATAAATGCATTACATAGTGTTTTTGTGTGTTATCTACTGATGCATATATAAATGCATTATATAGTGTTTTTGTGTGTTATTTACTGATGCATATATAAATGCATTATATAGTGTTTTTGTGTGTTATTTGCTGATATATAAATGCATTATATAGTGTTTTTGTGTGTTATCTACTGATGCATAAACAAATGCATGATAAAGTGTTTGTGTGTGCTATCTACTGATGCATATATAAATGCATTATAAAGTGTTTTTGTGTGGTCTCTACTGCTGCATAAACAAATGCATTATATAGTGTTTTTGTGTTTTCTACTGCTGCATAAACAAATGCATTATATAGTGTTTTTGTGTGTTATTTACTGATGCATATATAAACGCATTATATAGTGTTTTTGTGTGTTATTTACTGATGCATATATAAATGCATTATATAGTGTTTTTGTGTGTTATTTACTGATGCATATATAAATGCATTATATAGTGTTTTTGTGTGTTATTTACTGATGCATATATAAATGCATTATATAGTGTTTTTGTGTGTTATTTACTGATGCATATATAAATGCATTATATAGTGTTTTGTGTGTTATCTACTGATGCATATATAAATGCATTATATAGTGTTTTTGTGTGTTATTTACTGATGCATATATAAATGCATTATATAGTGTTTTTGTGTGTTATTTACTGATGCATATATAAATGCATTATATAGTGTTTTTGTGTGTTATTTACTGATGCATATATAAATGCATTATATAGTGTTTTTGTGTGTTATCTACTGATGCATATATAAATGCATTATATAGTGTTTTTGTGTGTTATCTACTGATGCATATATAAATGCATTATAAAGTGTTTTTGTGTGGTCTCTACTGCTGCATAAACAAATGCATTATAAAGTGTTTTTGTGTGTTATTTACTGATGCATATATAAATACATTATATAGTGTTTTTGTGTGTTATCTACTGATGCATAAACAAATGCATTATATAGTGTTTTTGTGTGTTATTTACTGATGCATATATAAATACATTTTATAGTGTTTTTGTGTGTTATCTAATGATGCATAAACAAATGCATTATAAAGTGTTTTTGTGTGTTATCTACTGATGCATATATAAATACATTATATAGTGTTTTTGTGTGTTATTTACTGATGCATATATAAGTGCATTATATAGTGTTTTTGTGTGTTATCTACTGATGCATAAATGCATGTTTGTTTCTCATCACCGGTACCACTTGTTCCACGTACTGACTTGCTTTATTACACCTATTCCTGTTTGACTGGTTTGTTAAAGGCACTATAATTCTGGGAAGCCACACAAAAAGCAGGGTCATCTTCAACTTGGGATTGTCTTTTGCACAGAAAAACATGGTACACACAATACACACATGCCATTACCACTACATACCCAGAAGTCATAAAAGGATCCTGGCTGCACATTTGGCACTTTGTCTCTGTAGATCTGTTTATTTGTTCTCTCATCAACATGACTCCTTTGTGAGATAACACCTGAAAGTGTTTTACCAGTGGCATCTTTCTGCTGGTGGTAAATCTGTAACATCAAGCAAATTCAATGCTGACTGTTACTATTTCATGAGCAAATATATAAATGTATGGATGTTTATGCAAAAGGAAAGTTCTGGAACACGAAACTGAAGTTCAGAAGTGAATGAACAACTAGAACTTTCTGCTGACGTTTAGTTTACAGCCAGTGAACACCATGAAGAAGAAGAAGAAGAAAGATCAGGAGGAGCAGGAGTAATCAAATCACACCTCATGTGGGTTCTGGGGCCACAGTTTTAGAAAATGAGATGTTGAGTTAAAAACTAACATCATAGCACTCGGGACATCCCTGATAAGCGCTCTGTGCCTATCTTCAGCAGACAGTATAGAGTTCAAATTCTGATGCTACCAGCAGCAGCAAGTTTTTGTTTGTCCATTTGGTCCACCTTGAGAATGGCTCACACGGGCATATCAACACAGTGGGGGCTGAGTGGTCTCGAGGTATGGTGTCCGCCTTGAGTGCTTAAGGTCCCGGTTCAAAACCTAGTGAAGGCTGGGGGTTTTTCATGTGGACTTCTAGTAACTTCCCCTGGTCTCTGAGTAGTAAGACCGGATGCCTGTGTGTATTGTTGCGTACGTACTCAGGCAGTGTAACAAATGTTGATCAACACAGATGTTGATCTGTTGAAAAAACATAAACATATCAACTCCACTTTATGGTCATCCTAGGGACAGATTCTCTACTGGGAGCAATGGCCAACACAGCTAGGATCGTTGTTTCATTCAAAGACAGAGTGCACCTGACAGAGAGGCAAGTGCAATGACTCTCTTTACATTTAGTTTGGCTCAAGTCTTTTGCAGACTTCTCACTCGTGCACTGACAGTCAACTCAATAGGTGAAAGATGGATGACATTGAACGACACAGTGCGATGTCAATATTTATTGAGCGGCGTGGGGGCCACATGGTGGTAGAGGTTGTTGACAGAAAACCGCCGGAAGGCCGCAAATTAAGTAGCCGGAAGCCCGCAATGACCCGTGACCGCGGCTCGGCTGGATATTTTGCCGCCGCCATCTTTGTCGACCATTTGTTGGAGGATAGCCAAAAGTCCTTTACACAACGGCAGATGAAAATAACAATTCTCTTTGACACTCAAACTTAAACATGTTCAGCACTGACTGTGTCAGTTCTTAGCTGAAGGCCAGTGGAAACTAACAAACACATCAGATTCATGCTTTCATTTATAACTTGATACAAACTTTTTCTCTGCTTTACATGTGTATAGTTTCTTGACCCAAATGAGACAGGCCACTAGATCTTTCTAGGGCATCAAATAATCTTCTGTCGCCCACATTCAAATTGTGCCCACATCCGAATTCTCATGTTTTCCATTTCGCACGGGTTTAGTGAGATTAATTTGGCCAACATTTTCCCCGTGCATCCCAGTTCGTACTCATTAAATTCAAATATCTAATTCACAATCATTACCTGACATGATACCTATTGTAACATAATTTATCAGGGAGAAAATGGTTTACTACATTAGGAACCAACAGTCGTTACACAATATGGCAAGATCTGTAAAAAACAGGTGTGGAGGCAACACTCAATTTCTGGAACACCACCATAGTCCAGAATTTAACAAACAGTTAGGACTTTCCACCAGAGTTCACAGCCGATAAACATAAAAAAGTGAAGAAGAAGCAGAATACTCACTGTGTAATACTGTATCTGTCCATTTGTGAGCAGCGGTCTCAGCCAGCTCAGATCCACAGCGTAGGATACAGGATAGTTCTCCACCTTGACTGATGTACTGAGATTTCTTGGGGCTGAGGGAACTGCAAGAGAACAGCACAGATGACAACAGGTGAGACTTAAAAAAAAACATGCAATGGGTGAGGCTAAAAAAAACATCCACGTGGTGCATTTATTACAGCTTAACTGTAAACTAGAACACCCAAAAAAGGCTAGTAATTAGACATTTGCCGAAATTAGATGTAGTGGGCTGAAAGGCCCAGATATCATAGCCCAGATGTAAACCACAACACAACCCCATTTTAAAGGGCTAAGACAGAAGAAGAAGACAAATACATAATGTCTGAGGTGAAGTTTAAAAAAAATAAACGTAAACACAATGAGTGAGGCTTAAACAATGGTATATGCTGCAACTTAAAGAGTGAGGCTTAAACAATGGTATATGCTGCAACTTAAAGAGTGAGGCATAAACAATGGTATATGCTTAAAGAGTGAGGCATAAACAATGGTATCCCCTGTGTGGGATCCGGGGCCCCATTATAAGCAAAACTAGAATAGACCCACTGCCTCCCCAAAAAGCATGTTGTAAGAGTCGACTAACTGGGGGCTTCCTTTCAAGTCGGAGTGCATCTGCCTGAGAGGCAAGGAACCAGCAATCTGCATACAAATAAGTCAGATCTGTAAAACAGATGCACATGCAAAACTCAGGTCCTGGAACAAAGCCAAAGTCCAGAAATGGATGAACAACCAGGTCTTTCCACTGGAGTTTATAGCCATTGAACGCAAACAACAACAACAACAACAATGGTATATGCTGCAACATAATGAGTGAGGCATAAACAATGGTATATGCTGCCCAACATAATGAGTGAGGCATAAACAGTGGTATATGCTGTCCAACATAATGAGTGAGGCATAAACAATGGTATATGCTGTCCAACGTAATGAGTGAGGCATATACAGTGGTATATGCTGCAACATAATGAGTGAGAAATAAACAGTGGTATATGCTGTCCAACACAATAAGTGAGGCATAAACAATGGTATATGCTGCAACCTAATGAGTGAGGCATAAACAATGGTATATGCTGTCCAGTGGTATATGCTGCAGCGTAATGAGTGAGGCATAAACAGTGGTATATGCTGCAACATAATGAGTGAGGCATAAACAATTGTATATGCTGCCTAACACAATGAGTGAGGCATAAACAATGGAGTATGCTGCAACATAATGAGTGAGGCATAAACAATGGTATACGCTGCCCAACATAATGAGTGAGACATAAAGAATGGCATATGCTGCCCAACGTTCAGTATTAACAGAGAATTACGTACAGTGGTACCTCGACTTGCAAACCACTCTACATACAAACTTTTAGAGATACAAACTTTTGAAATATCCCATTTTGACTTCTATGTATGAACCTAGATTGGAGATCCAAACTGTGATCAACTGCACACTTGCATGCTTGCAGTTACTACAGCGTATTCATCTGGAGTATGACGCAACAAGTAGTGTATGCAACGTATGCTGCCCCTACTGTGTCTGATGATTTGCACTGGAGGAACCTTACAGTGAAACTGACATTGTAGACACAGTTGTCTCCCTGGGCAAGATCATGGATTTGGAAGTTGAAGAAGCAGTCACACAGGATCTGTCAGAGGAGCATAGCACTGAGCCGACCACTGAAGAGCTAAACGAGTTAGGAACCGAACAGGAAAAAGTAAGGGATGAGGAGGAAGAGCAAAAGTCTTCAGAGAACAATGACAGCAATAAAAAAAAAATACTAATAAATACAAATTTGTAATGGTATACACAATGCATATTTAGTGACTAAAAGTACTCCTTCTTATTCGTAATCAATTTTTTTTTTGGCATTCTCCTAATTTAGGTAAGGTTAGTTCTATTTTTACTAATTTTTTTATAAAAATTTTCAGTCTAAGAACGAATTAACCGATTTCACATAAGATGTAATGGGAAACTTTTGGAGACAAATCTATAAGTGCTTAAAAGCCATCTTCTGTGTATCCCTCAGCATGTGGCAATTGATAACACCAGTTCTGTGTTCGTTTACTATTCCTCTTTGGCTACCTGCATAGTGTTCATGACTGTCAATACCTTTTTTGAACTGAAGTTCTTGTAGTCTTTTTAATGTTGCTCATCTCATGAATTACCTATTTATCTGTCCTGCCTCCTTGACAGCATTAAGAACACTGGCCCGGTCCACTGCTTGTCCTGAACATAATTACATAACTACAACAGTATAATCAAGGACTCCACGACCACAAGTATAAACTTACTTCCTTCAGCAGTGACTATTTGGTAACTCTTCACGACACAAGCAATACCACGGATCACTGTTGAGAATACAAAGTGATAAGCAGTTTGAGGCTGTAGATCGTTCACGGGAAATGACTTATGATCTGCCGCAGAAATAAGCACATTTTTCCACGTCAGGTTAGCCATGCTGAGACCTGATATATTTTGCCTGCAAATGAACAAAACAAAACAAAAAAATCAGAGGTCATGAGATATTAGTGTTGCTAGGACACACAATGAGGAAATGATGTAACAGGAAGTGACCGGGAAATCTGACCAACACTCTGCACTCAGAGAAAATGGTATGGGTACCATCAGTACTTGACTCTTAACTGGCTGCTGAAGTTGACGATGGAGCACCTATGGGAATGTTTAGAGGACTGTAATGTCAGTATTTAGCTCAGCTCAATTTAATATTCAGAAATGACTGTTTACTGATTTCAGACTCAACATCATAACACACTGGGCATACCCACAGGTGCTCTGTCTCCTGCTGCAGTCTGAAAGTGTAGATCAGGGCTATTCAACTGGTGGTCAGTGGGTCAAATGTGGCCTGTGACAGCTTAGCAAGCAGCCGACAGAACATTGCAACTTGTATTATTTCACTGATCTTTCTATCCTGGGGCTTGGGCTCCCGGGCCTGTGCAGGTCTCCATTTTGTAAATTGTGGCCACTGAGTGAACAGCTGAACAGCCCTGGTGCAGATGCTAAATGTTCTCGTAGCCCACTGATTATACATACTCTTCCTTTTGTACGTCCCTCCTTGCTGGACCGACTCCTAATTCCATGTTCACACATTCTTACACAAGTGATTTAATCTAACCTCAAGTCTTTTATCGGCAGTCGCCGCGGCATAGCGGCTAGATGCTCGCGTGCAGATAAGAAAGTTGTGGATTCGCTCCCTGGCTGAGCCGGACTTTTTCAGAAATGAAATTGACTCCCAGGTCGACCCAGGCTTGAGTGTGTACAGGGTGCAGTCCCAGGATGTAAAGGCGGCCAACGTAATGCTGACCACTTTACCCATCTTGTGCCGATTGGTCTATAAAAATAAAGGTCTAGCCCTATACGCCTAAAGGCGCAGAAAAGGGACCTTTACTTCACTTTTAATTACTTCTGTCTTTTATCAGCATTTGTCCATAAATGGTCTTCAGAATGTCACCTTTGTCCGGTGTGTTCCTGCAGGTGCAAAATCTGATCTGTCATTTCCTCATACTCCTGCATTTCCCAGACAGTATATTCATGAGTCTCTGTAATACTGACAGGGTTCTATCCATGCTTCATAATGCATTTGTGAGAAAACATCCAGGCCTGCTAACTAGGGGATTACTGCTTCGTCATGACAATGTCAGACAATATGCAGCTCAGTAAACTCACGGTGGGAACTTCTGGAACATTCACCTTACATCACTGACTCAGCCTCTAGTGATTTTCATCTTTTTGGTCCTCCGAAAACACACCTCGGCGGGAGACATTCCGCAAATCACGCAGAAGTTGAAAATGAAGTGAAAATATGGTTTAGAAAACAGAGCAGACAGTTCCATGCAGCAGGTTTGGGAGATCTAATAAAATGATGGGACAAGTGCATCAATGTTGGTGGAAACTTATACATAAAGAGACATATGAAATTAGTGAAGATCTTGTAAACATTAAAAATATTCATGTCATAAACTGAAATACATACGCATAAGATAGATTTGTGAAATCATAGAAGATCTTCCATGAAACACTTGTGTTTGACACCTCAAAAGTTGCATACAATGTGCTTGGTGGACTCAACTGCAAGCAAGCTGAAACAAGAAACCAAGCCAATATTTAGTATTTAGTGAGTGGGCAGTATGATTTAGTGCTGTTTTCTTCTTCACCTTTTTAAAAGGGCAACTGGTAAGTTTGTGTTGTGGTTGACAGCTAGGCTGCAATATCTGCACCTTTCGGCCCAGCATATCTGATTTGAGCCAACCCTTAATTAGTCTCCTTTTACAACATGCTTGTTAACTCTTTGAGTCCCAAGGAACGCATCATACATTCATAGGTTCCTATCTAGAAGCCTAATTTATGCATGATGCGCCGATTTGATGTCTCTCTTTACTACCCTTGGACCTGTGATGCTAAACCCACTAGGACTCAAGAGTAAGCGGTGGTGTGCCTTTTTTCTTTTTCCCCACCACACTGGTGCTCAGGAATCTATACACGGAAGTGATATGTTTTAACTCACTGAGTTCCAAGCAACTCACCATGCGTATACTGAGCTCTCGTATATTATATACTTCTTCTTCGTTCACCGGCTGTGAATTCCAGCGGAAGGTCCCGGTTATTCGTCCGCTTGGACTTTTGGCTTTTACCTGGACCTGAGTTTTGCGTGTATATATATTCTATACTATTCTCAACCTTTCGCCCTCAGTCCAGTAATGTGGTTAACTGAATCTGCCTCAGCTGTTGCCCTATGAAAGGTTATTATTTTCTCTGTTTCAGACTCAAACATTTATTAGTCAAAATTACAAATTCTTAGGATATAATTCGATTTAGTAGCATTCAAACAGACTCAAAGAGTAATATGTTGAGACTGTGCTCAAAGGTGTCTACTCCTCTTCCTCCTCTACTTCTTCTTCTTTATAATTATGTTCATAAATACTGTTGTTTTCTTTGTATAAGATGCTCCCTCTCTAAGACAACCTCTAATTTTTTTTAAAACCCCAAATTAAGAAATAAATAATTTAAACACCAATCAGAACAACTCTGATACTTTATTCAATATTAAAAACACCCGTACATTATGTAAAATAAAAGTAAAGGACCCTCTAACACGCCTTCAGTCGTATTGGGCATGTAGGGGCAGGCATATTAAGTACCTTATATTTAAAATATCAAACAGAATAACTTTACCGATATATTCAGTATTACAATCATCGTGGGTAATTTAAAAAAAAAAGTGTGTGTGTACTAGTCAGCACTATTCAAATGTGCAGTAGTTGGTTGCTGTGCTGAGGCATGAAAGTCTATCCTAGATGACTATTAGAGACGGCTGAATGACAGGCACTGTACAACATGTGACCACACACACACAACAACCAGATTAGCAGAAGGACTGCGCCTGTCGAATACAAATGTACATCATGGAGTCCTGCATGTTTACATCAGCTTCATCACAGCCACTGAGTTACAGCAGGTGCAGCTTGATCAAACCAGAGATGTTACAGTTACAGTTATGATCCCCAATGCAACCACAGATCTGTCCCACACACATATGTTCTTCTTCTTCTTCGTGTTCACCGGCTGTAAACTCAGGCAGAAAATTTCTGGTTGTTCCTCCACTTCTGCACTCTAGCCCTGTTCCGTAAACTAAGTGTTGTGTGTACATCCGTTTCACAGGTCTGAGTTATTTGCATGCAGACTGTTGGTTCCTTGCCTCTTAGGCAGATGTACTCAAATTTCGAAGGAAGCTCCCAATTAGTCGACTCTTACGACATTCTTTTGGGCAGGCAGTGGGTCTATTCCTGTTTTCCCCCACAATGGGGCCCTGGAACTCACACGTGGAACACGGGTGATAATCCTGGACAATTAGTTAACAGGTCAAACAATTTCTTGAGGCCGCAGAGATGTGGTTTTGTAGATGAATGTTTACAATTCCTTGCTGCCAAAATGAGTGCCTGAAGACAACTTACTTATCACAAATACTGAAAAACAACAGTCATCATTTTGTGGCCAGATCATGAGATGAAAGAAACTGGCACATGTTGCGATGACTGGAAAGATTTGTAGAGAGATAAATAAAACAATGGGAGAAGGTTTTAAGCAGCCTTTTGTCATAGTATGGAAGGGTACGGGACACAATTTCTCATCTTCTTCTTATTCGTCACATTCAGCGGCTTTAAACTCCAGCAGAAAAGTTCTGGTTGGTCATCCACTTCTTGACTTTGGTCTTGTTCCAGAATTTTAATTTTGCATGCATATCCATTTTACACATCTGATTTATGTATATGCAGACTATTGGTTCCTTGCCTCTCAGGCAGATGTACTCCAACTAAGAAGGATACACCCTTAATAGTCAACTTTTACAACATGCTGTGGCTTAGGCATTGCGAAAGCGCTTTGTAATGCCCGGTTCGATTCCTGCTGCAGACAATTTGTCTTGCGCTGGTTTCGACAGTGGTACAAAGAGCTGACCGTTCAGGAAGCAATGGCAAACTACTGAACGTAAAATTTGCTTAGAAAAACCAGAACAGCCAATAAATGCTGGGGTTGGTTCTGCAACGTTCTGTAAGGGATACGTTAGGGAGCAGTGGGCCTCGGAACCCATACAGGGAAGCACACAAATTGATATTTTCTGCTGGAGATTGCAAGTTGTGGAGAGGGTTGATCACCAATCAGCAATTCACTTGATGATGATGATAACAAACATGTGTATACATCCAAATAATGTACAATCAACGCAACATCACAAGGGGAAAAACTCACCATCACAGTGCTGCTCATCTCGGCCATTGGCACACTCTAGTTTACGGTTACAGACTTGCAAAGGAGACAGGCATGTCTTGCTGGTATCATTACAGTTGAACTGGCCTGCTTTGCAATCATACGTCCCTGGTGGAACACAAACATTGATAGGCATAATAATAGGAATGCACTCTAATGACAGAGTTCAGGATTACATTCTAGCAATAAAGTTCTTCTCCTTCTTATGGCCTGGAGAGAATGAAGTGTAACCAGAGGGTCTGGCCGGCCCAATACGCTCAGAGGAAAGGCACGACGGACATATAACCAGATTGTGACTGGTACCATCAGTATTGCAACTCTGTGCTGGCTGCTGAAGATGAGGACGGAGCACGAATACTAATAATACAGTAAAAGTAAAAAAAAGCAGAGGATCCTTTCTTACGCACTGGGCACATGATGCCAGACCCATAACTTTATATACCAATCGGCACTCAGTGAACGGTCAAAACCACGCCTTCTGTCTTGACTTCCCAGGACATTACTTCCGAAGCCAAGGACAATTTTGAAAAAATAAAAAAAATAAAAAATTTGACCAATGCAGATTTGAACCCAAGACCTTCCGGCCAGCAGTTGAGCCTCTAGCCACTACATGACAATAATTCCATGTTCACTCATCTTTCAAGGATAAGAAAAAGGAGAAGAGGTCAATGATGGACAAATTAACCCAAAGTCATAGTTCAGTCATCAGTGCTCTCCTAGTAAATTCAAAGCCTAGTCCCTATTTCTCTCCTAGTAAACTCAAAGCCACAGTTGAGTCAACAGTCCTCCCTTAGTAAACTCAAATGTCACAGACAAGTCATCAGCCTCTCCTAGTAAACTCAATGTCACAGATGAATCACTAGTCCTTTCCTAGTAAACTCAGTCACCAGTCCTCTCCTAGTAAACTCAATATCACAGATGAGTCACCAGTCATCTCCTAGTAAACTTAATGTCACTGATGAGTCACCAGTCATCTCCTAGTAAACTTAATGTCATAGCTGAGTCATTGGTCCTCTCCTAGTAAACTCAATATCACAGATGAGTCACCAGTCATCTCCTAGTAAACTTAATGTCATAGCTGAGTCACCAACCTCTCATAGTAAATTCAATGTCATAGTTGAGTCACCAGTCCTCTCCTAGTAAACTCAACGTCATAGCTGAATCACCAGTACTCTTCAAGGAATTGAATGCCATGGATGATGACAACTGTTTCCCAATTCCAAATAAAATCTGCAGCCCACAGTCTTGCACCATGCACTGCCAGTAGCTGGGTGATGGAACTATATACTTTCAGTCCATCCCCATGTAGGTTGCAGGGCTTCATTTTCAAGAACAAAGAATAGACCCATTGCCCCCTCCCCCCAGAAGGGGGCTAATTAGGGGTAATTAGGAGTGTTTACTTCAAAGTCAGAGTGCATCTGCCTGAGAGATAAAGGACCATCAGTCTGCATACAAATAAGACAGATTTGTAAAACGAATGTGCATACAAAACTCAAGTTCTGGATCAAGACCAAAGTACAGGAGTGGATAAACAACCAGAACTTTCTGACGGAGTTTACAGCCAGTCAATGCTAAGAAGAAGACTTTCTATCCACATGTGGTGAAAAATGCAAAGCTAACCATGGATAGAAGCACATAACTTGCTACAACTAAAACAGTTACAGGACTGGAAGCCTTAGCTTAGGTATTAGATGAAGAGTACAAGGTAGACCAAGAAGGAAAGATAACAACAGCATGAAGGTGAAGGCGGCCAGAATTGCAAGAAACAGAACCTTTTATCTCCCCCAACACCTGAAGCAGTAAAAGAGGAAGTGAAGAAGAAGCCTTAGCTGAACAACTTTACCAAGGAAACCCAACTAATCCTCCTGTGAGGTTCCAACAAACTTACCTATTTGAGAATCACACTGCAGCTCATCAGAACCATCATTACAGTCCAGCACTTTGTCACAGACTTTAGAGTGAGAGATGCATCCCCCATCTTCTACACATCTGAAATCTGTAGGCAGGCATGTTGTGGCTGAGAAAGAAAGAGAGAGATTGAGGATCAAAATGAATCACATGATTTTTATGATGATGGGTGTAATGCTATCATTATGCAGAATATATGGTCACCAGTGTACTTATTCACCTGAGAGAAGCACAGTGCAGACCTTTGAAGGGTGCAGTGAAGACTTTTGGATGCAACACTGTGCAGACCTTTAAGGCAACACTATGCAGACCTTTGGAGTCAACACTATGCAGACCTTTGGAGTCAACACTGTGCAGACCTTTAGGGCAACACTATGCAGACCTTTGGAGGCAACACTGTGCATACCTTTGGAGGCAACACTGTGCAGACCTTTAAAAGGTGCAGTGCAACACTGTACAGACCTTTAGGGGCAACACTATGGAGACCTTTGGAGACAACACTGTGCAGATCTTTGGAGGCAACACTGTGCAGATCTTTGGAGGCAACACTGTAAGACCTTTAGAGGCAACACTGAGCAGACCTTTAAAGGGTGCAGTGCAACACTGTGCAGACCTTTGGGGGCAACACTATGCAGACCTTTGGGGGCAACACTATGCAGACCTTTGGAGGTGACACAGTACAGACCATTAAGGGGTACTAAAGCTAACATGGTTTCATGCAGGGTAAAAAAACAAACCCTGGCCTGTATCATCATCATCATTTCTACCATGAACAGTCATGGGGCTAGAAATTGCTGATGATCCGGCACCCAACATGTAGCACTGGCTACAGTCATTCTATGATGACAATGACTATATGGGATGGGTCTCGATGATGACGGACAGGGGAAAAAAAGAAGAATAAACTAGAGGTAAAAACTGATAACTTACTGTGATTGTCACACCAAGCTTCATCATCCCCTTGAGGACAGTGACTGCATAAGATCGCTCGCAATGATGTTCAACCAACACACACAAAAACGGAGGAAAACACTGATGATAAATTACAGTGATTGTCACACAGTTTCATCATCCCCCGTAGGATAGTCACTAGCTCACAATGATGAAGTAAAAAAAAAAACAGAGGCAAAAAAAAAAAAAAAAGATTGTGTCTTACCGAGCTCTCATCATCTCTTTGAGGACAGTGACTGTAGGAGATCGCCCGCGATGATGATCAACAGAGAGAAAAAAAAAAGAAGAAAACACTAGAGGAAAAAAAACTGATAACTTACTGTGATTGTCAAAATGAGCCTCATCATCCCCTTGAGGACAGTGACTGCATGAGATCGCTCGCGATGATAATCAACAGAAGAAAAAAAACGGAGGAAAAACTGATGATAACTTACTGTGATTGTCACAATGAGCCTCGTCATCCCCTTGAGGACAGTCAGCCTCCCCATCGCACACCCAAGCTTTCCAGATGCACTTGTCATGGGCACACTGGTACTGGTCCCTGCTGCAGGAACCTGAAAATGACCATATTTTCAGACTCACATCACAGAGACCAGCCAGGGGTGTTTGAAATGAGCACCTTACAAGTGTGACAGAAATTATCATGACTATGGCACAGTCTTGTAACCTGTCAATATTGTTGTCAAGGATGTCAAGAGTGCTAAGCATGTGATATTACAGTGCAGACAAACACTCTTAACATCCTTAACAATAATACTGACATGTTACCAGACAGTGGCATAGTTAGTGTAATTTCTATCACACTTTTAAGGTTTTCATCTCAATCACCCCTGAATCATTATTCTCTGTGTTGGTTCTGAGGATCTCAAGGGAGGAGAGGGTTCTTTGACCTACTGCTCCTTAACAAGCATGTCATAAAAATTAAAGATTCGCTGAAACCTAAAGCCTCAGGGATAGAGGTCAAAGGGTTACAGCATGATCTTAGACCCCTGCGGGTGCATTAGGTTTAATACTTGACCGATTCCTGTCTACTGATTACCCCTTTCATATATCTTTATATAATTCTAACAATAATTTTAAAATAGTACACTTTTTATGAATTTATTAGTTACATTTAAAATATTCGTTTTTATAGATTGCTTCTGGAATTCTAATGGGGTCATGACCTCTTTGTCTAATTTTTTTAAATTAAAAGAAAAATTGTTCTCGGGCTAACTGTCACTACTGTCTGTTTTACCACATTTTAGGGCGGTGCAGACAGGAAGGCCTTGAGCCTGAGAATTTTGGACTGCATGGCTAGTGCTGTTGCCACGGACTGTACTGGTAAGGATGTTTTAATTCCATCTTACCGGGGGGTGGGGTGGAACCTGGGTCTCCAGCATGAGAGCCCGAAGTTGTAACTACTTGGTCAGCCGCTTCTCAGTTCTCGGGGTGAAAGGGTTAAAATATGTTTATGCTCCATCAGTTCTCGGGGTGAAGGGGTTAAAATATTTGTATGGTCTACTGGAGGATGAAGGGCAGAAAAAGAACAGAAAACATACCACAGCTGTCTTCGTCTGTCCCATCAAGGCAGTCCTCATGGCCGTTACATCTCAGCACATTTGGCAGACAGCGATAATCCACCGGACAGAAGAATTCATTGTAGCTACACCAATGCGTACGGCTAGTAGTGTTCCAGGGCAAAGGTGATGTGGTACTCGTTGGATATTCACCTGCAGCACAAGATATGATACGAATATATATATATATATATATATATATATATATATATATATATATATATATATATATATATATATATATATATATATAGAGAGAGAGAGAGAGAGAGAGAGAGAGAGAGAGAGAGAGAGAGAGAGAGACACACACACACGCATGCACGCACGCACGCACGCATGCACGCACACACACACACACACACACACACACACAGTATATATATTAACAACAATACTGACAGGTTATCAGAGATAATGATCTAACGACTTGGCATGACTTGGTTGAGGGCCTATGCTCCATTGGGGGTTAGAAAGGCAGAAGAAAAAGAGGACGGACAAGATAATGGCATGCTCAATGTGGGGGGGGGGGGAGGGGTCTCCGTAATGAAATGGTCACGACATTTGCCTCGTTCTCCGAAGGTCTTGGGTTTATTTCATGGCTGTGCCCTTCAGTTCATGAGTGCAATTTTCACGGAGATTCCTGTAAATCGGCACAAGAGCTATCGAGTTCATGCTCTGTTTGGCACTCTCAGGAGGGGACTAGCTGTGGAGAGAGACCGAGCCATATGGGATAAAACTTGGTGCAATGAAGTGGATCCTCTCGACTTTAGCCTTTAAATCTTTACTTTATGGTCATTGAAATTCTATCATACTTTTAAAGTTTTCATCTTTATATCTTGTTTAAAGTCCTCATGGCCTTATATATATATATATATATATATATAAGGTCTGACAATTGAGTAATGATCTAGCAACTTTGCATCACCGGCTGATAAGCAGACAACAAATAAGCAGCCATTTTATTTACCTAGCTTTAGATGTGTATTGTTAAAAAATCAGCATGCAGCAAAAAGCAAACATTAAATTCTGTTGAGACAGTTGAATTGATGCGACAAATTTATGGGGATAATTGTTTATCTCGTGCACAGATTTTCAGCTGGTATTCATGATTCAAAAGTGGTATGGAAATTATTACTAATGCAACTAGACCTAGACGCCTAGTTTCTGTTCATAATGAGGAACTCATTGCAAAAGTCGGAGAACAGATAAAAGAAGATCGTTGTTCGACTGTGAGGATGATGGCGGATGAATTTGATGTTAATAGAGAGACCATTCATACAATTTTTGTGGAAGATTTGGGCAAGAAAAAATGTGCTTGTCAGTCTGTACCACATTCCTTGCCTGATGACCAAAAACATCAGCATGTCGAGTACGCAAAAGACATCATCAAAACATGTCACAGAAATAGACATTTCTTAAATCTGATTGTTGCAGAGGATGAAACATGGATTTTCCACTGATTCCACAACCAAACGCCAAAGTGCTCAGTGGAAGTCATCATCATTAGAAGGAAAAAAAATCTGTCTTCAAAAGTCAAAAGTGAAGACAATGTTGGTGTGCTTCTACGACAGCAAAGGAGTTATTCACAGATAATTTATTCCAGATGGACAGACTCAGCCACAGTTTATTCAAGTATTTTGAAACACTTATTGAAAATGATTCTCAGAGTCCGACCCAAATATTCAACACCTGGCAGTTTTTTTCCTTCTTCGTGACAATGTACCAGCTCACCGGGCGATAGTTGTACCAGCATTCTTGGCCCCCCAAAAAAGTGTGTGTTCTCAACCATCCACCCTACTCCCCAGATTTGTCTCCCTGTGATTATTTTCTATTCCCAAAATTAAAGTTACCATTGAAGTGGGACGCTTCTTTGATGATATTGATGACATCCAAAGTGCCGTAACAACGACTTTAAGAGCCATAACAACAGAAGAACTACAGAGGTCGTTCCAGTGTTTGTTAGATCGTGCCACTTGCTGTATCAATGCACACTGGGTTTACTTTGAAAAAAAATAGAGATTACATCTTTAACTGTTGATTTTTTTTTTTAATGGAATCAGTCTCATTTCCTAATTTTCTGACCTTGTATATGTATATACTGACCACATTACCCACCCAATGCCAATAGGTCTGTAAAAATATGGGACGCTCTAACCATATGCTGGATGCGCCTAAGGCGTGAAAAGGGATCTTTCCTTTTATTTTACTATTATAACCCATACCCCCCAAAAAAATCTAGTTAAAATCGTCAGCTAATCAGACAGATTTGTCTTAACTGTTGAAAATATACAAGAATGTAAAGAATTATAAAGATGTTCCAGATAAGAATGTTCCTTATTTAAAAAAAAAATTTTTGAAGCAAGGAATCACTACAGGAGATGTAATTAAAGTATACAGTCTATATAGAAAATGTGATTAAAGAATGTAATCACGAAAGAGCTGTGATTAAAGAAGACTTAAAATCACTCCAGATGTGATTAAAGAACGTATGCAATTACATCATAGATGTGACTAAAGAACATATAAAATCACTCCAGATGTGATTAAAGAATGCATGCAATTACATCACAGATATGACTAAAGAACATATAAAATCACTCCAGATGTGATTAAAGAACACATGCAATTACATCACAGATGTGACAAAAGAACATATAAAATCACTCCAGATGTGATTAAAGAAAACATAAATCATTACAAGGGATATCAATTGAAAACACTTACAATCAATTTCATCTGATGAATCACCACAATCATTGATTCCATTGCAAACATCCACCCATCCAACACAGTAGCCATTTGTGCACCTGTAGGAAAAGACTGGGCACAAAGGAGAGCTTGTGACTTTCCTTGGTGCAGATGTGGTACCTGAATAATGATACAGTGTTTACTGATAAATGTGGTATCAAATAACGAAAAATAACGATATACAGTTTAAATAATTAGGAACCAAAACAATTTACGGTACAATTTAGTATGAATGTACCCATATTTTTACAGACCTATCAGCAATAGGTGGGTAATGTAGTCAGCACTACGCTAGCCGTCCTAAATTCCCAAGGACAGCCATCCTGGTACCCATTTTAGGCTGGGTCGACCTGCGACTCCTCACACCATGATAAAATTTCACACAGCCAGCAGTGGGTTTCGATCGTGGTACATTCGAATTATGAGTTGGACTCACAACTCCTAAGCCACGGACCTCGCTGCACAATTTAGTGCTTGGTACAGTTTGCTGTATCCCTTTGAAAAAAAATATAAAGTCTGGACAGCTGCAGGTATCAACAGTAACATGACAAAGAAGATGGAAAACCTTACAAGTATGATAGAAATTACAATAACTGTGCCACTGTCTTGTAAAATGTCAGTAGTGTTCTAAGGATGTCAACAGTGTTAAGCATGGTGCAGATGAACATGGTGCAGATAAACATGGTGCAGATGAACATGATGCAGATGATCACGGTGCAGATGGTCACGGTGCAGATGAACATGGTGCAAATGAACATGGTGCAGATGAACATGGTGCAGATGAACATGGTGCAGATGATCATGGTGCAGATGAACATGGTGATGTCATTATAACAGTTTCAAGATGGCCACCCCACTTCTGACAAGCATCAGAGAGGAGCAGCATTCCATTATCCATTAAAAAAAAATCAAGGGTTTCAACTTTTAGAAATTAATCAGTGAACCAAGCTCTGGTATAAAGATGCATGCTTGTCAGTGCAGTAAGTTATGAGTGCAGTAGGAGGTTTCAAAACAGGGTGACTGCTGTGAAGGACTGCTCAAACCTGGATCAAGTACACAAAGTCAAAGTTGACTACAGCAGCTGAAGCCATTGTACAGGAAAACCGTCCACTTACTGTGAGTGACGCTGCCGTATATCTTGACATCAGTCAAGGTTCAGCAAGCACCCCATATCATTCAGATTGTACTACAGTACCACAAAGTGATTGCAAGACGGGTGCCGTGGCAGCTTACTCCAGAAATGAAACGACATAGTGAAGATTAACAAGAACTTTTGGGGTGCTTTGAAGCTGAAGGTGATAGTTTCCTATCAAGAATTATTACTGGAGATAAAAGCTGGGTTCACTACAATGAGCCAGAAATGAAGAGAGCGAGCAAGGAATGGTGCCATCCGTCCTCACCAAAACTCAAGATGTTTTGCAAGCAGCCATTTGCAGAGAAGGTTATGTTATCTCTCGCTTGGAATGCACAGGGTATTATTTTAGAGCATGCATGTTAACAAGGAAAACTGTCACCAGTGATACATATACAGATCTTCTAGGGAATCATTTTTGACCTGCAATCAAATCCAAACAATGTGGACTTTTGAGTAAAGGTGTCCCTCTGCAACATGACAATCTTCGACTCCATGCTGTCCGTGCAATGATTGAAACCATCCAAGACCTCCATTTTCAGTGGGTACTACCACATACTGTGTACTCACCAGACCTAGCCCTAAATGATTTCTACCTGTTTAGACAACTCAAAGAGTCACTGGGGGGAAAGACTTTTCCATCAGATGAAGTGGTACAGTAGGTGGTGCACGAGTGGTTACACAAAGGTAGTGGCCACTGCATCCAAAAATGGAACATTTGTTCTGTACTTTCTTATCTGAAGCCCTCTCACATACTGAGTACATCTAGAGAAGAAGTGGAGAGAGAGAATGATCAAAAAGGCACTGATACAAGAAACAAATGTATTGAGGAAGTGAGGACATTCAAGAAGAACCTTACAAAGAATACCAATGATGAGGCCAGAGATGCTGGAATAAATTTCACATATGACCAAAGAGACTGCAAACAACAGAACAGAATGGAGAATCAGCTGTGAGGCCAATGTCAAATATCAACAGCACAGGAGGATGATGATGGAATTTTCACCAAGTTCAATATACAAAACTAGTCATGTAATTCTCACCAAGTCCAGAATACAATATAATACTAGTCATGTAATTCTCACCAAGTCCAGAATACAATATAATACTAGTCATGTAATTCTCACCAAGTCCAGAATATAATATAATACTAGTCATGTAATTCTCACCAAGTCCAGAATACAATATAATACTAGTCATGTAATTCTCACCAAGTCCAGAATATAATATAATACTAGTCATGTAATTCTCACCAAGTCCAGAATACAATATAATACTAGTCATGTAATTCTCACCAAGTCCAGAATACAATATAATACTAGTCATGTAATTCTCACCAAGTCCAGAATACAATATAATACTAGTCATGTAATTCTCACCAAGTCCAGAATACAATATAATACTAGTCATGTAATTCTCACCAAGTCCAGAATACAATATAATACTAGTCATGTAATTCTCACCAAGTCCAGAATACAATACTAGTCATGTAATTCTCACCAAGTCCAGAATACAATGTAATACTAGTCATGTAATTCTCACTAAGTCCAGAATACAATGTAATACTAGTCATGTAATTCTCACCAAGTCCAGAATACAATGTAATACTAGTCATGTAATTCTCACCAAGTCCAGAATACAATGTAATACTAGTCATGTAATTCTCACCAAGTCCAGAATACAATACTAGTCATGTAATTCTCACCAAGTCCAGAATACAATACTAGTCATGTAATTCTCACCAAGTCCAGAATACAATACTAGTCATGTAATTCTCACCAAGTCCAGAATACAATACTAGTCATGTAATTCTCACCAAGTCCAGAATACAATGTAATACTAGTCATGTAATTCTCACCAAGTCCAGAATACAATGTAATACTAGTCATGTAATTCTCACCAAGTCCAGAATACAATACAATACTAGTCATGTAATTCTCACCAAGTCCAGAATACAATACTAGTCATGTAATTCTCACTAAGTCCAGAATACAATGTAATACTAGTCATGTAATTCTCACTAAGTCCAGAATACAATGTAATACTAGTCATGTAATTCTCACTAAGTCCAGAATACAATGTAATACTAGTCATGTAATTCTCACCAAGTCCAGAATACAATATAATACTAGTCATGTAATTCTCACCAAGTCCAGAATACAATACTAGTCATGTAATTCTCACCAAGTCCAGAATACAATATAATACTAGTCATGTAATTCTCACCAAGTCCAGAATACAATACTAGTCATGTAATTCTCACCAAGTCCAGAATACAATGTAATACTAGTCATGTAATTCTCACCAAGTCCAGAATACAATACTAGTCATGTAATTCTCACCAAGTCCAGAATACAATGTAATACTAGTCATGTAATTCTCACCAAGTCCAGAATACAATACTAGTCATGTAATTCTCACCAAGTCCAGAATACAATGTAATACTAGTCATGTAATTCTCACCAAGTCCAGAATACAATACTAGTCATGTAATTCTCACCAAGTCCAGAATACAATACTAGTCATGTAATTCTCACCAAGTCCAGAATACAATGTAATACTAGTCATGTAATTCTCACCAAGTCCAGAATACAATACTAGTCATGTAATTCTCACTAAGTCCAGAATACAATGTAATACTAGTCATGTAATTCTCACTAAGTCCAGAATACAATGTAATACTAGTCATGTAATTCTCACTAAGTCCAGAATACAATGTAATACTAGTCATGTAATTCTCACTAAGTCCAGAATACAATGTAATACTAGTCATGTAATTCTCACCAAGTCCAGAATACAATATAATACTAGTCATGTAATTCTTACTAAGTCCAGAATACAATATAATACTAGTCATGTAATTCTTACTTAGTCCAGAATACAATGTAATACTAGTCATGTAATTCTTACTAAGTCCAGAATACAATGTAATACTAGTCATGTAATTCTCACCAAGTCCAGAATACAATATAATACTAGTCATGTTATTCTCACCAAGTCCAGAATATAATATAATACTAGTCATGTTATTCTCACCAAGTCCAGATTATAGGTAAAAGATCTAATGAATGAACTTACTCAGACTGCAGCCTATTTCATCTGTGCCATTCTTACAGTCAGCTTCTCCATCGCAACGCCAAACTTCATAGATACATTCTTCTCCATTGCCACAGTCAAACTGATTATCTGTAAATGTGAAGACAATATTGAATGTCAATTAACAATTTGCATTTCATCACAGTCAGTAATTTTTTTTTTCATTCTATGAGAAGAAATACAGTCTAAAAGAGCTAATAGACTGAAATGGTTGAGAGAATGTCAGATGACAGAGAAGTAAAAACTGTATACACCAGGGAGATAAATGGTGGTAGACCATGAGGCAGACCAAGAAGATTATGGAGAGATAATGTCCAGACAGACCTGCAAACACTTGGTGTCACCAACTGGAAAGAGAAGGCCAAGCAGAGAGATGAATGGAGGCGGGTGATATCAGCAGCAATAACCTTAAGGGCTCGGAATGCTGAAGAAAAAGATGAGGAGAAGAAGAAGAAGATGAGAAGGAATGGATTCAAGAACCTGGGTACAAGTGGTAAGATGGATGGAAAAAAGGTAAAGGAAAAAAAAAAAAAATAACTGGACAGTTTGGTCTCATGGATGACAGGACTACAACAGTGACCTGATCTGTGATTCTGGTGATCGTGTGAGGTAGCAAAACATAAGCAGGACAGAGCAGCCCTGTCTGTGTTGGTGGATATGGGAGTGTAGCCTGTGACAGTCAGACATGAACATTTTACTAAAGGCACAGGATGTTAAGAGAAATCAACAGAAAACAGGCACTGATAAGTTGCTTTATGCTTTGTGAGCTATTAAGGAGGAGATCAGAAGCACTAATGAATCTGTTCACAGAATGCTGTGATGATAGTTCTCATTAATTCTTAATCATTAATCATTATTGCCTGTGTGAAGACACATCACAGTGAACACAATGTCACCTAAGTGAACATCTGAAGTACCAGTTATAAATAAAATGACATCATCATCATCATCATCGTCTTCTCAAAGTCCATGCCGTGTGGCACTGGTAGTCATGTCTATCCACAACCTTCTGTGTCGTGTACTTTCAATCAACTCCCACACAGATGATCTTCCATGCAATGATGTCAAACTGTCCAGCATCTTTTTTTCTCGTGGTCTCCCTCTGCCTCTCCTTCCCTCCAACTTTTTTACTGGCATGATGTACTCATTTTCTTCTTCTCATCACATGACCAAAGATAGTAGACAGCCTCTTTCTGATGTGGGCAATCAGTTCTCTTCATGAGTCAGTTTCTTTCAAGACATCTTTATTGCTGCTTTTATCTGTCCAGGGTATTCTCATCACTCGCCTATAAAACCACATCTCCGCAGCTTCCAAATAAGTTTTCACTAATTTACCAACTGTCCATGATTCACTTCTGTATATCAAGGTGGGATTTATATAGCTTTTAAGAATTTTCTTTCTCGTCTCAGCTGACAAAGAAAGATTATTTAAAATATTCTTCCTTTTGTAAAATGCTGTCTTTGCTTGAGCTTTTCTATTTGTATAATACATCTTCCATCTGAAGTTATCAGGGCACCCCAGTAAAATGTATCAACTTGCTTGAGGTCTGTAACATTTACATTGATGCTGCATTTTGGAGGGTCATATTTCTTTGCATTACCATTACTTATGTTTTCAGCTGTTCAAACTAAAACCATTATTTTCACTTTCAGTTACAATTATAATCATCACCATGGCCATAGTAAAATCATCAATTTTGTTTGTGTGACAGTGTATGTATTGCGTTGGTTATAAAGTTAGTTAGTCGAGGTTTCAACATCATTGTGGACGGGCCATCTCATAATTCACATAAAATGCCCTTCACAGTCCCATTTCTCATTAGTGAAAAACTTGTCAGTCTGAGAACAATTCTAAAGCTTATATGCTTAAAGTAAAAATGCATAAGGCATCAGATGTGCTGACACTAATAGTACCACACTAGAAATGCAGCTGTTGGTGCAAATGGTTATCATCATGAAAACCACATTTTGATGACATTTTGACTTTCACAAGGGACAGCGAAGTACATTTTGTGTGATTTCTACTGCAATAGGAAATGAAGCGGTTATGGGGCAACTCATAACTGCAGCTAAGTTGCTGTGAAGTTGGAACCATGACTAACAACTTGAAGGTGTGCATAAGTCATCCATGCTTTTGTATTTTTCATCACCATGAGCAGGTCCTCTGCAGAACGTCGCTCTCATCACGGTCTGCCTGAAAGAAACTCGCTCTCTCACCAGCTCTCCCACCTCGTGTACTTTCATATTCAAGGAGTCACTTATATCCTGTGCCCATCTTCATGTTGATATTATTTTTCAAATCCGCCATGGTGCTTGATTTGACCTAAATATTTCAGCTTCCGAGACAAGATGCTGTTTATTAGCCAATCTTCCTTGATTTTCAGATCTTTTAAAATGTCAGTATTTTTACTCTTCTTTGTCCATGTTATTCTAAGATTCTTTCTATAGCATTTCAGCTCAAAAGCACCTATTTTCTTTCTTAAGGACAGGGAGATTGTCCACGACTCACATCTGTATGTTGCTACAGGAAAGATGTATGTATGTTTACTTAATATTAACAATATAAATTTTGTTACATGAACATAACATGCTTAATATAAAGTATAAAATGAGTGTTTGAAAGGGTTGAATGTAAAGCAGTGTGGCAAATTTGTAACAATTTGGATATAAACACATTTCAGCTATTTGTTCAACCATGAGAATTAACAGTATTCTATCCTTTATTGGTTCACAACAATCTAAGAATCTTCCTGTAACAATCAGGTTTAAAAGCTGTGATCTTTTTATTTTCTAGTGACTGCAAAATAATATGACTCACATCATGATGTAATGAGTCGGCTCTGTGGCTAAGTCGATGCGAATGCTTTGTAATGCCGGGGTGCGATCCCAGCTGCGGGCTATGCGCCTTGCGTTGGTTTCGACAGTGGTATCAAGGAGCCGACCGTCCTGAAAGCAATAGCAAACTACTGGACGTAAATTTGCCTAGAGAAACCACACAACAGCCAGGGGCTGCTGGGGTTGGTTCTGCAACATCCTGTAAAGGATACCCAACTAACCATGATGTAATGATAGCCCTCACTAATCCCATGATCATAAGACAAGTTTCACAAAGCCTGCTGAGAAAGGTGAAGACAGGCATGCTCCGTGCACAGTGGCAAGCACTGCCTCAGAGGTCTCTGGGTAGCTGGTATAGTTTGGATCTTTTCTATGCGGCATGCAGGTGTGTTGGGAAATGAACAAGCAGACAGGTTGCCGGGTGCTGCACCAATGGAGTTGACATCCAATGAATGACAAGACTAGATATGGTACGTGCCCTTTTGGTAGCCAGTGAATAATGCTGAAGGGCGGACAGATCCTTACAGTCTGGAGAGGAATGGTGTAGCACAGAATGACCAGGGGATCTGGCCAACACTCAATGGAAAGGCAAGGACGTAGAATCAGACTATTGCCGGTACAGCCGGTAACTAGAACTCTTTGCTTACAGGAATGTCCTGCATACTACAATGTGTAGGATTCTTCACTCAAAGTTAACACGTAAAATGTAAATATAACAATATTAAATCACATAATTCCAGTCTTACCAGTAACATTATGATTATGGCAGTTTTTTCTCATCGCTAGTTGTCCACTACAATCTTGAGTGACCGTTGCATTTGTAGATGAAATCGATGCATGCTCCACTGTCGCATGGTGAAAAGACCAAGGATGGGCATGCTAAAACAGCGGGAAAACAAGGCAAACGATCCTTAAAGGTGAGAGGGTTGAATTCAACCTGCACCAAGTTTCATCTTCTTCTTCGTGTTCACCGGCTATAGAACTCAGGTGGAAAGTTTCTGATTGTCTGTACACTTTCTGGACTTTAGTCTTTGTCCCAGAATGTGAGTTTGCATGCGTATCAATTTTACAGGATATTGGCTCATCTCTACTACACAGACTGTGTAGGGCTTCCCTAGAGGCTTTTTCAAACAGTGATGCAGGTCCAACCGCGAGAGAAAACACCTAGTTAGTCCGACTCTGTGTGGTCAGGGGAAAGGTGTTTGGGGGTTCTATTCTCTCTTTCCCTCTCAAGAATGAGAGCCCCAGATGTTGGTGCTCTGGGTGTGATATGATTCAGTTTCTTATCTGATTCTCTGACTCAGGTTGTTATGGTAGCGATGCGTGTATGTGAGCTGTGCTCGGTGGGGTCCACCTAGCTGATAGCTTGTACACGAAAGGCCATCAACTCTGGTAGCTTTGGTTACAACCCACTAGAATCTCTGGAAAAAAATTAAATACTGGTGTCTGCCGGAGAACAAACCCACAGCTCTTGCATAGCGTATCTAGCTAGCAAACAGCTTCGTAATTCACAAACAGATAACACCCCCAGTGCTGCACCTCCTCAGCCTTTGTGTGAGAGTTGTGAGACGGGGAGGATTACGGGGGGGGGGGGGGCTCCTGGACATGTTGGGTATGGCGCAGTTGTGCTTCGGGTTATTATGAATAAATATACAAGTAATGACAGCACTTGAGAACCTGGGAACAAGCAGAGATAGAGGACACACTAGACATGAAAAACACAAGCTAGAGTTACCATACAAAATAGCATGCCAAAAAAAATGGGAACAAGCAGAGATAGAGGACACACTAGACATGAAAAACACAAATTAGAGTTACCACATAAAACAGCATGAGAAAAAAATGTGAGTACTGTCAGAGCTGAGAAAGAAGTACAGAGACCTTTCTACCTGAGTTTATAGCCAAAGAACGATAAGAACAAGAAGAATAAGAAAATGAAATAGAATGATTTAAAAATATACAAGTGTTATCTGCACTCATATAACAAAAGCAAGAAAAAGAGATAGGAGACAACTTAAAAATCAAAAGCTAGAGTTACCATGCTAAAAAACATAATAAACCTACAAGTAAGGTCAGAATGTAGGCAGAAGGAGAGACAGAAAACACACCAGACAAAAAAAAAAAAGTCAAAAGGTATTATCACCTATTTATGGTGACCAGACAACAAAGTCTCAGCCTACCTCTGATAAGATGCAAGCACTTTTCAGGGTTTAGATGGTGTGAACACTAACTACTACACATCTTTTTCTTTTAGAATAGCAGTTGCCACATTGTGTGGTAGTTAAAAGGTAGTCAGCGATATCTGCACCTTTCAGGCCAACACATTCAATTTCAGGAAAACCCCAAATTAGTCACCATTTACAACATGCCCTGTGGAAAGGGGGTGGGGGGGGGGGGGAGGGGCAATAAGTCTGCCTAAATATAATCTCTCCATCACCTTCTTGGTCGGCCTCATGGTCTATTCCAATTCAACTGCCTTGTGTACACAGATATTGTCACTCTGTCATCTACCATTCTCTCTATTTGCCCAACGATTGCATCTACACAACAGAATCTATCTATAAACTGTATACATTTCTTAATTTTTTCTATTTCATTCTTCTGTTACTTCAACCTATTTTATCCAAGTAAGTACTTTCAACTCACGCTGACCCAATGAAGGAATGCATGAATGAATCAAGAACTGACATTGCTGCACTTTGTACATTCCCACACGTGCTCTGTCCCCTTCTTCAGTAACCAACGAAGAGCTGACATGATAATAGTACGTGTTGCAACCTGATGAAAAGTCTGCCTCTGTTTTTCCCTTTAATTTTAAATATTTTCCAGAACCTCTACACAGCCCCCTGTTAAATTAGTCTTTTCAGTGTATGGGTTTCCTATCTATTTTTTTGGGGGGGGGGGGGGGGGGGGGGGGAGAACGGGGGGTGGGGGGGGGGGGGGCACTGGTCTATTTGATTCCCCACAGAGCCTTCAGCACGTCCCCTTTATCTTAAAGTAGCTCACCACACAGAGGAGCGGCAGCAATCAATCCATCAGCCTGCTCGTTTCATGCTGTCCTGTGATAGCATTATTTCAACTCCCTCAGATTCTAAGATTACTGATAGAGGTAAAGGTGAGAGGATCGACTTCACTGCACCGGGTTTAATACCAAATGGCTCAATCTCTCTGTATAACTGCTAGCTGACCTGCTGAGAGTGTTACACAGAGCACGACTTCCGTAGCTCAGGTGACGATCCCCAGGCATCCTCGTAAACATTTCACTCGCGACCTGAGCTGGCAAACCACTTAATGATAAAATTAAAGGGCCCTTTTACTAATCGGGCGCATGATGCTAGACCAATATTTTTACAGACCAATCAATACACAACGGGTAATGTGGTCAACATCATGCCAGCCTCCTTTGCTTCCCAAGACATTTGCTGGTACTTACTTTAGGATGGGCTGACCTGGGAACTAGCGTCTTTAATAAATTAATCTGACTCGATGCAGATTCAAGACCTAGACCTTCCGACCAGCAGCTAGCCACTGTGCTACCGCTGCTCCCACTTGATAGCTGATGATTTAACCTTTCACCCCATGAATGCTAAATGAAATTGGGTAAGGAACAAAATTATTTACACATGTAACTAAAAATTGTTTTTTAAATATATAAAGGGGTAATCGATAAACATGTAAAGAGCGAGGCATTAAATAGAATGCACTTATTGCCGCCTTAAACAAGTGTACTGGATGACTCATACGGTCACCCCATGACCCCTATCACAGAGGCTTACGGTGGAATTTTAGGTCAACCTGGCTTTAAAATAGCTTTTGAATTTACCAGGAAATCCCTCCAAATGCTATGTTTAGTTAATATTTTCACATCAAGGCCTCCTAATCACTATGCAGATGTACCACGAGCTTTTCGGGAACAGGTCAGACAATGGTTCTTTTCCTTTTTTCCAAAATGAAGCACTTACTGGTGTTGTGACTGAAGCAATTTTTCTCATCCGAGTTGTCATGGCAGTTCGTCATCCATGTCGCAGACCCATTGACGATTGATGCAATTAGCCATTTTCACACTTGAACTGGTCCCGAGTACACACCTGATTGGCTGTTAAATGACAGAGACGGAATAAAATTGGTAATTATCTAAATTATGTGAAAATCAGCATGAGAAGAATAATGGTGAATATCAGCATAACATTTACTGTTCAACATGGTAAAAGAACAGTGACTAGCTGAAGATCATCTGCAGTTCACATGTGGGAACTGTGGATATGTGAGACCAAGTAGAATATTTCACATTTATTCCGTGAGAACTGTGGATGTGTGAGACCAAGTAGAATATTTCACATTCATTCCGTGAGAACTGTGGATATGTGAGGCCAAGTAGAATATTTCACATTCATTCCGATAGAAACTGTGGATATGTGAGACCAAGTAGAATATTTCACATTCATTCCGATAGAAACTGTGGATATGTGAGACCAAGTAGAATATTTCACATTCATTCCGATAGAAACTGTGGATATGTGAGACCAAGTAGAATATTTCACATTCATTCCATGAGAAACTGTGGATATGTGAGACCAAGTAGAATATTTCACATTCATTCCGATAGAAACTGTGGATATGTGAGACCAAGTAGAATATTTCACATTCAATCCGATAGAAACTGTGGATATGTGAGACCAAGTAGAATATTTCACATTCATTCCGATAGAAACTGTGGATATGTGAGACCAAGTAGAATATTTCACATTCATTCCGATAGAAACTGTGGATATGTGAGACCAAGTAGAATATTTCACATTCATTCCGATAGAAACTGTGGATATGTGAGACCAAGTAGAATATTTCACATTCATTCTGTGAGAACTGTAGATATGTGTGACCGAGTAGAATATTTCACATTCATTCCGATAGAAACTGTGGATATGTGAGACCAAGTAGAATATTTCCCATTCATTCCGTGAGAACTGTAGATATGTGAAACCAAGTAGAATATTTCACATTCATTCTGACTGTGGATATGTGAGACCAAGTAGAATATTTCACATTCGTTCCGCGGGAACTGTGGATATGTGAGACCAAGTAGAATATTTCACATTCACTTCGCGGGAAAAGGGAGCTGCTATGGTCTAACGCTCGATGCTCGCCTGCCGATGGGAGGTTTGTGGGTTCGGGTTCTGACCGGGGAGGATGGGGGGGGGGGGCTTTTTTCAAAAATAACCTTGGCTTCCAGGTCAACCCGGCCTTGAATGGGTACCAGCTACAGTCCTGGAAAGTAAAGGTGGCTGGTGTCGTTTGGTCCATAAAATATAGGTCTAGCCCTAAATACTATGACAAAATCACCTCAGTGTTTTCAAAATGTAATATGTTTAATAATTTCTTTTATTACATAAAGAAAAATAAAATTATATTTACTATGCACTCAGCCCAAATACTACAACCATCTGGGATTCAAAACTGTTTGAAGTTCTCAAAGGACAAAGAACAATGAACATCTGAAGATCAAATTATGTGCTATTTAACAAGAGAAATTAACAAAGGCGGACATTTGAAAATCAAAATATTCACTGTAAATGTGGGAGAAAGAATTTAGGGAATATGTGAAGAGCAACGTAATATTTGCTATTTAGTGTTGAAAATTAACAATGCTGAATACCTGAAAATCATAACAGCTGCTGGTAAACAAGGGAAATGACAAATGGTGAAAATCGGAAGAAAATACAGCGAAGAGAAAAAATAGCATAATATTTGCTGTTCAATGCAGGGAGAAAATTGCCATTAAAACCCATTTTTATACTGTCCTTGCCTGCGAGGTCGACCTGCCTCAAATAGGTAGCAGGAATTGTTTTAGGAGGTAAATTCAGTGGCCGAGGAGATAGTGACCACATGACCCCATGGTTAGTGCCAACAGTTTATAAAAGCATGAGGCTAGCACGAGATGCCCAGGTCACCTGGAGGCATGGAATGGGTCCTTTACTTTTCTTTTCGCTTTTAAGCAACTCTTATTCCTAATCGGTTGTGTTCATTCTTATCCCTCCTGCCCTGGGAAAACTGTTTAAAAAAAAAAATTTTAATGGGTCACCTTTGGAATTCCAGAAAAAATTAGTTGGGAATTATTTTTTTTCCACACAGGTCACTAAAAAATTTGTGAAACATTTAGTTATCTTGATTTGTATGTGTGTTTGTGTGGTAAATATATAAAGATATATGAAGGGAATAATCAATAAAAATGAACAGGGTTAAGCACTAAATGGATTATATTATCCTGAGCCTTAATAAAACATATATCAAGTGACTTGTGCTGTGACCCCATGACCTCTATCAATAAAGTTGCGGGAAAATTTGACATCTTCAAAAACAAGCTATTTGGCTCATAGGAAAAATCCTTATCCATCCATCCCCCCCCCCCTCCATCCCGATGTTAGTTAATGTTTTTAAATCCTGACCTCCTAACCGTTTGCGCAGGCATGAAGACAGCCAATAGCATTAACTATGTGTCCTAGGTCACTACAGATCACTGTAGACGTATGTCAGAAGTATGGCTCGCCGAATTATCGGTTTTGCGGTTTCTCTAGTCAAATTGGCAGCTGGCACATCGTGATGTGGTTTCTTCTTCTTTTTCTTCTGCGTTTTTAATTGCAAACCCTGGTATATCCAGTTTCGTCCTTTTTAGGACAAAATTTTTTGTTATTTGAAGCCCCACCCTGGCTTTTGCCAGGGGCCGCAATAAAGGCAGGCCAGAAATATTGCCAATTGTCTGAACGCGGTTTCTGGGACCTCTCCACGGCGATCCTCATCCACATGGTGGCACTTTGTGTCATGGGGTGTTTATCGCTTGTGTGATGTCCTAGTGGGGTAGAAAGTCAGTCAGTCAGTCTTCTGCGTTCATCCGAAGATGTACTAATTACGTTGTGTCCGTATACAGCATAGTTGCGATATTTGCACCTTTCGGCCAACACATCCGACTTCTGGGGGTATTTGTTGACCGGGTTAGCCTTCCCAGTTAGTTTCTGGGGACATGGCAGTCTCATTGTTGTGTGGTCATCTTTATTTCCCAGGTCACAGGTGGTGCCCCAATCAGGCTGATCCAAAGAGGCCACATAATGCTGATCAGCCCTCAAGAGAAGACAGGGGCAGAACATGAGTATTCCCTGCCATCCAAGGAGGCTTCCACAAATGCAGAGCTAATACATGGTGCTCTGGTACTGGGCTCACCCAAGGAATCGTCACGTCCTGCTCATGACTGTTTAACCTCACTTCCATATATTGAACATCTCATACATCATGGGCTATCTCTTTTGTAGCTAACAGTATGCAGGCTGCAGGCCTGGGATTTCATTTACCTACACCACAAAATGAGTACTTTGCTTCTTTTGCATGTTAGGTGCTGTGGTTTACAGATAGGCTGCGATATCTTCAATATTTAGCTCAGCAGATCTCGTTTCAGCCCACCCCTAATTGGTCACCTTTAAAAACATGCCTATCAGCCTGTCAGGAAAGCAGTGGGCCTTGCCCCCCCCCCCCCACCCCGCATACAATAATTCGGTTAAGGAACCCACATGGGATCACACAAGCAACAAAACATTTCTTGCACATAAAGACACCTACGGCAGTTCAGTTCATCAGACTGGATCCCATCCTTGCAGTCGTCCTGGCGGTCGCACACCCACTGTTTGGGGATGCATTTTCCAGTGCGGCAGGTGAACGAGGAAGAACTGCATGTAGTATATGCTGTAGAATAAATAAACAGACATATGTATACACAGTAGAATAAACATTTGTATACGCAACAGAACAAAAGAATATGTTGTAAAATACATAAACATATTTATTTACTGTTGAATAAAAAAAATAATTTAAAAAATAAATAGCAGAAGGCATGGTACCGAGAAAGAGAGGCAGGAGCCGACCAACACGAAAATGAGCACAGGATATAAGTGACTCCTTAAATATGAAAGTATATGAGGCAGGAGAGCCAGTGGGAGAGCTGGCAAGAGCCTGAGTTTTTTTTCAGCCAGACTGTGATGAGAGTGACATTCTGCAAAGGATCTGCTACATGATGATGATTTTGTTGAATAAATGAATAGATCTCTGTATATTCATTCATTCATTCAGTAGCATGTCCCTCGCGGAACCTCGCTGCCATAACAACCCTCCGGAAAACCTTCCTATCATGAGCAAGATGTCCTGCGTCTGATACACCCATCTGGAGATCATCTGCCACATCCTGCACCCATCTTCTCCTTGGCCTTCCTCTTCCTCTCTTCCCAGGCATATACCCCTCCATTATTGTTCTCTCTAGACTTCCATGACGTTTCAAGTGACCAAAATATTTCAATTTTCTTTGTTTTATTGTCTTTACTAGCCAACCCTCTTCAATATTCAGCTCTTGAATATATGTATATTTATATATATATCTCTGTATATGGTGAAAAAAAAAAAAAAGAATTGATAAACATTTGTATACACTGTAGAAACAATAAATAAATATCTGTATTTGCTGTAGAATTGATAAATATATGTACAGGCTGTAGAAAAAAGGCAATATCTCTATTTAATATAGAATAAATAAATATATATAGGTAAATGTAGGATAATAAATAAATATATGTACACTCTGTAAAATAAATGAACTGTATACAATGCACTATATTTAAATGTATGCATATAGTAAAAAAAAAAAAAAAAAAAAAGTTAAGGTCCCTCTTCCACGTTTTTAGGTGTGTAGGGAGGGCACATAGGGCTAGACGTATATTTTAATAGACCGATCGGCACAAGATTGGTGATGTGGTCAGCATCACACCAATGTATGTATATACTGTGGAGAAAATAAACAAATGCATATGTCCAAGGATACATAAAGAAACATATATGACATAGGAAAATAAAAACATACAGAGTAGGATAAATAAAAAGATCTGTGAATGCAGTGTAGAATAAATAAACCTTAGATTTATGTTCTGTGACGAAATGAAGTTTCCCAAAGGGCTAACAGTCTAAAACAGCTGGGGTATATTGAGAGAATGTCAGATGGCAAAGAGGTAAAACAACTGTACACGAGGGAAATGAATGGCCGTAGACTATAAGGCAGACCAAGAAGATAAAGCAGAGACAATTTACAGACAGACCTGCAAGCACTTGGAGTCATAAAATGGAAAGAGACAAATTATCACAGAGATGAATGGAAGCGGGTGATATCTGCAGCAATGTACCTCAAGAGCTTGCAATGCTGAAGAAGAGGAGGAGGAAGAAGAAGAAGAAAAAGCAGAAAGAAATAATAAATGTGTATATGGTGTAGGATAAATTTAAAAAAAACCCAAAAATGTACATGCTGGAGAAAAAGTAATTATCTGTATATTATTATGTTTAAAAATAAACATCTGCATATGGTGTAGGCTTATTAATTACTTTTATGACATGCTTGTTGACAAAGAGGGGGGGGGGGGGGGGGGGGGTGAGGGTAGGGACTCTGTTCTGTTTTTTCCTTCACAATTTGGCATTGGAACCCACAAGGGATTCCCACATGGGGATTGCACACAACTAAACCAATACTAAATGGCTCAAATACTATGGAACCAGGTGTTGTTATTTTATTTTAAAAAAGCATACATGTTGTTGTTGGGAGATTAGTACCAAGGATTTGCAAAGTAGTAGTGGGAGGAAGAGGATGTGTTGGTCCAGTCGTGTAAAACTCAGGGGGATGAGATTCCCCTGGATTTCACTGAAGTATATCAGCCTTTTGTGCTGGGACGCTTAGTCATCGTTTTTTTCCCTGGTGCAGAGAGACAAAGGAAGAAAGTTGTTGCTATCAGTGTTTCTGTTCCCTATATATTAAATAATTGGAGGAGATTTTCATGCCAGCGTCTCTGCTGCCTATAAGCTATGGTGGATTGTTACAGAGTTTCAAGGTCAAAGGATGACCATGGATGGAGGTACTGGCATAATGAAAATACTTTACTGACATACATGGATAGCTGGAATATCATACGAATGAGCACATTTGAGTCTCTATTTTGGACCAGATATCTGTGGATCTAGTTGGAGGAGGTTATTGCAAACTATTTTAGTTATTCGAGAGAGACAGAGAGAGAGAGAGAGAGAGAGAGAGACAGAGAGGGGGGAAGAGAGAGAGACACAGAGAGAGAGACAGAGAGAGAGAGAGAGAGAGCATAGGAACGACAGTGCTGATATTTATTCATACTAAGGTTGCAAGTTCAGTTTTCAACATTCATGTTATCTCGTATCACTGGAACTAGACATGGTGGGGAATACACCTTTCGTACATTATACATGACATCCTGTCAAATCACAGAACATTATTGTTCCTCCAAGTTCGCTGTTACAGTTTGCCCAGTTGATCATGGTGGCATTTGGAGTTTCAGAGTGATCTTGCCTCTTTCACCCTTCACTACGAAAATCATACGTTTTGTAACCCTAGACTTGGTCTTGCCGTTCAAAATTGGCTGAGGTTCATTGCAGGTTCAAAGTTAATTGACTGACATTCTGGTTTTACATGCTGTTCATATTATTAATATTCACTGATCGTTTGTCATCTACATTTACCGCCTGCATGATTCATGTGAGGAGCTGCACATCTCAGGATGGTACTCATTTCAGGACGTGTCATCCTAGCAGACAAGGTCAATTATGAAAAATCTGCTCTGATGAGGATTCAAACAAGTTTCTCTCATCATATTCTCATCTCACAATAAGCACACACATCTTCACTGTTTCTATTCAGTTTTTATGTGTTTCTTGCAGGACTTTCTCATTTGTTTTTCAAAGACAAGACAAGACAAATGGAAATTCAAAATAAGACACACACATCATTATCATCATCATCATCATCAAGTGAACTGACAACTGGTGAGGGTGATCATGTCTCTCCACAATTTACAACTGCGCGTATCAGTTTTTGTGTGCTGACAACCCTCCCTGTCATTACACAAGACTGTCAAGAATCTTCTCACGTCGTCTTCCTCTGTGTCTCCTTCTACAGATCTTTCCAGTTTCCCACTTAACATGATTTAAAAAAAAAATGGAGACTGTCTCTTTCTGATAAGTGAGAAACACACATAAATTTATAAATGAAATAAAAATAAAAAACTAACGGCAGTCAATCTCATCCGTTCCATCGCCACAATCATCCTCGCCATCGCACTTCCAGGTCAAGAAGATGCAGTTCCCATTGCCACAGGCTTGTTTATCCATGGCACATGATGTGTCTGAAATTACACATCAAATACATATCACAAAAATGTATTCACAGCAGACGATCGAGGCGGCTTTAAGCGTAAAACCTTAAAAGTGTGAAAGAAATAACAAAAACAATGCCACTGTCTTGTAACCAGTCAATATTGATGTTAAGGATGTCAAGAGTTCAAGACGAACATAGTGATGTCACAATGATTAATTTAAATATGGCGGCCACACTTTTGATATGCACCAAAAAGTAGCAGTTTCTGTAGTCAGTTTTTCTGACCAGGAAAGGGGGTGAAACCTTCAGAAATCAACCGTGAATGAAGGTCCAGTATAGTGATGCATGCCTGTCAGTTCAACAAGTATATGAGTGGGAAGTACAAAGTTTTCAAACCATGTGACATCTGTGACAGATTGTTCCTAACTCGGTGACGCCAAGTAAGGAGTAACCCCAGAGATCACTGCAGCCAATAAAGGCCTCATACAGAAAAACTGCTGACTGTGAATGACATTGCCACAGATCTTAATATAAACCAAAATTCAGCACATTACATCATTTATGATCTCCTACAGTACCACAAATTGTCTGCTCCTCTTTGGTGCATGTCAAAAGTGGGGTGGCCATCTTTAAACTCTAATTATGACAGCACCGTGCTTAATACTCTTGCCATCCTTAACAACTACATTAACAGTTTACAAAACAGACTTGTTTATCCATGGGGCATGATGTGTCTGAAATCATACATCAAACAGACAATACACAGGCTATTTTAATGTTTTTTCACATTTTTAAAATTTCATTAAAAACCCCTTTGAATTATAGTCTGTTCAAATATAGGTGCCGTTTGAAATCATACATCAAATGCACGACAGACTTGGAGATCCCTATGGGTCACTGCTGGAGCTAGTGTTTGTACTGTGTGCAATGCTCTCACATATGACCAGCCATTCTGTGCAGAAAGAATACACTTTTCCTTTATTGTCCTCCTCTTCTTCTTCTTCTCCTTCTTTGTGTTCACCAGCTGTAAACTCCAGTAGAATATTCCACCTGCTTGTCCATTTGTGGACTTAGGTCTTGCTTCTGAACTTGTTTTTTGTTATATCCAGTATACAAATCGGGTTTTCTGTATTCAGACTGTTGGTTCCATGCCTTTCAGACAAACATATGCTAACTAAGAAGGAAAAAACCCCTAATTAGTCGACCTACTAAAAACTTTGGGGAGGGTGGCAGTGGGTCTATTCTTCTTTTTTTTTTTTTTCTTCCATAATGGGAATCAGGAACTTACACAGGTAGAAAGGCTGAGCCAAATTGTGTTAAATCTGGTGCAATGAAGTTGATCGTTTTTTACTTTCATACATCCTTTTTGTAAATCCAGAATTCTGTCAATTTTTTATTTGAGTTTCTGTAGAAAAAGATAAGTTTTTTTTACTGCTACACACATTTTGATTTGCTTCAACATCTCCAAATCCATGACTGTTTTTGAATCTTCTTTCCACACCTGCCATTCTCTGGCACCACCTAACAGTTGTCTTTTATCTTTGTGTGTGTGAGTGTGCATGTGTGTAAGTGTGTGTGCCATCTTCAGGATGGTGGGTGGCTGCAAACAGATGTCCCTTCACTGCTGTATGTGGCAGTACATGCTGAGGCCCCTGTCTCTTCCACGGTGAGACTCTTGTACCACTGTCCAAAGGCCACGAGAATGGTTCTTTCATAATTATCTGCCACAGAAATCAAACTCACCTATATCAAGGATTCTGAAACCAGTTTACTCACCTCCAAGCCCCACAACCGCACTAACTACAAGGTAAGTAATAAACAAAATTGGTCAAGCTGGTCATGTGCAAAAGTACTTCTGTTCCTACAGCGAGCCACTGTCATCATTTGGAAGTGACAAGTTTGATTCTGGGTATGATAAGTAAAGCTTTTAATTGTTATGTTGTCTAGTGTGTCCTCTTTTTCTCTAGTTCTTTCTATAAGTGCTAATAAATACAAGTCAATATGTTTATTTTACCTAGCGAGTAGCACATCATTATCTGGAAATATACAGAAGAAGATTAATATCCAAACAATAGCCAGTGGTCATATTTTTTTTTTCACTCACTTGTTCCTTTGACACATGTTTGATTGACCATCTTCTCCCCAACTTCACAGCGGCAAGTTTCATCTCTGGATGGCGGATGCACTGTCCGGGGAAAGTTCTCTCCACACAGGCAGGTGCGGTTGTGGTTCGTGGGGTCTGGGTGTGGCAGGCACAGCTGGGAGCAGGGGGTGTGGTAACCACTGCAGGCACTCGAGGCTGTGGGTGATCACGGTCGTAGTTAACAGAAGCTCCTTGATGCTAGTGCCAGATAGTTCATCAGACAGGCACCCCACACAGACAGGCACCTCACACAGACAGGCACCTCATACAGACAGGCACCCCACACAGACAAGCACCACACAGACATGCACCCCACACAGACAAACACCCCACACAGACAAGCACCACACAGACAGGCACCCCACACAGACAGGCACCCCACACAGACAGGCACCCCACACAGACAAGCACCACACAGACAGGCACCCCACACAGACAGGCACCTCACACAGACAGGCACCTCATACAGACAGGCACCCCACACAGACAAGCACCACACAGACATGCACCCCACACAGACAGGCACCCCACACAGACAGGCACCCCACACAGACAGGTACCCCACACAGACAGGTACCCCACACAGACAGGCACCCCATACAGACAAGCACCACACAGACATGCACCCCACACAGACAGGCACCCCACACAGACAAGCACCACACAGACAGGCACCCCACACAGACAGGCGCACCACACAGACAGGTACCCCACACAGACAGGCACCCCATACAGACAGGCACTCATATAGTAGATACAGGCTCATCAGGCTGGGATGTACGGGACACAAAATACATGCTCTGGATACCTTAGGCAAACAAACACATATATAAGACATAAACAAACATACACTCGCACGCATAAACACACACACACACAAACACAAACAGGTTCCCCACTGAAATACACTCACCACGCTGTGGTGTTTTGGACACAGCATGTTTTAGACACTCGATTCTCTCTCTCTCTCTCTCTCTCTCTCTCTCTCATGCACGCACAACACGTGCACGCACGCACACACAGAGGCCCCAGACAAAAGATACAGACTCATCATGCTGTAGTGTATTGCACTCAGCCAACATGTTGTGGAGACTTGATTCTCTCTCTCTCTCTCTCTCTCTCTGTTTCTCTCTCTCTCTTTCTCACGCACGTGCATACATAAAAGACACAGACTCACATACACATAGAAGACATACACACAGGCAGGTAGACACATAAAGACAGGCTGACACACACACACACAGACCGGCACACAGATTAAAAACACAGACTCACTTGGCTGTGATATATTGAACTCAACCAACATGTTTTGGACACCTGATTCACACACACACCCAAGATGAAATCCCATGAACGCACGCATACACACACACACAAAGGCATACACACATACACACACAAAGACAGACACGCGCTCAGACAAAAGACTCACCATGCTGTGATGTATTGGACACAACCAACATATTTTGGATGCCTGATGCAAAGACAAAGTAGCGCCATGTGTCAGCACTGTGTTTGTTGGCCATCAAAATACCAAACCCATACTTTGTGGCTATGTACACATCATTCTGTAAAATTACCAAACTGTTTTGTTAATTTATTTATTTCAAAATTCAGGTTCATTTGTCATCATCATCATCAGTTTCCACTTCTGCCGTTAAGCGTTGTGGGGAGGAACAGTTTGCTATCCATTGCATGATGGGCAGCACTGGCTATTATCATACTGTGTTGATGCAGAAGCTCTTTAATGTCATCGGTCCATCTTCTCCTAGGTCGGCCTCTTGCATACATTTCAGATCTGTGCATGTGTAGTGCCTGCGTTGGTAGCTGTTCAGACTGCATTCTTACTCAATGACCAAACCATTTGTCAGTTACAGTAAAACCTCGTTGTCATAAACTTCCTTGACGAATGCTGAGTTAACTTGAACACAATTTTGGTCCCAGTACAAATGTATTATTGATAATTCATCTATTAGCTGGACACTCGCCATGGATCAGAGGGTCGGGGGTTCGCTCCCTGGCGGAGCCGGACTTTTTTTAAAAAAAAATGACCTTGGCTTCCAGGTCGATCCAGCCTTGAGTGGGTACCGAGTGCAGTCCGGGGAAGTAGAGGCGGCCGGCGTGATGCTGACTATATCTCCCATGTTGTGCCGATTGGTCTATAAAATACAGGTCTAGCCCTATATGCCTAAAGGTGTGGAAAAGGGTTCTCTGCTTATTAGGCCATGGTTAATAGTGGTTAATACAAACTCTTCATTTTTGGGGGGGGGGGGGGGGGGGGGGGGGGGGGGGGGGGGGGGGGGGGGGGGGGGGGGGGGGGGGGGGGGGGGGGGGGGGGGGGGGGGGGGGGGGGGGGGGGGGGGGGGGGGGGGGGGGGGGGGGGGGGGGGGGGGGGGGGGGGGGGGGGGGGGGGGGGTGGAGGGGGTCTCTTGGGATTCATGTTAGTGATGATTTTATTTAAATAACCAAACTGTTTCGCCAATTAATTTATCTAAATAACCAAAATGCTTTTGTTAATTAATTTATTTAAACAACCAGATTGTTTTGTCGGTTAATTTATTTCTTCTATGCTTTTTAAAGCATGCTGAAGGTCAGAATAAACAGAACTGGTAGAGGCAATTTTAACTTTGGGTTGGGCAGACAGATAAAGAGACAAAAATAAACAGAACGGGTAAGGTTAATTTTGTGTTGAAGACAGGCAAAGGTATCAAACAGACAAAACTAAACAAAACAGACAAAACTAAACAGAATTTGCTGAGCAAATTTTAATGTGAAGACAAAGAAAGATCAGCAGACTGAAAGTAGGGCAGAGAACACATGGCTGACATATGAGAAATAATATGGGAGGAGAATGGATGGCAGACACATAGAGATGTAGGGAGGAGAAGGTAGACACATAGATGATAATGTAGGGAGGAGAAGGTAGATGGCAGACACATAGATGTTAATGTAGGGAGGAGAAGGTAGATGACACACAGATGATAATGTAGGGAGGAGAAGGTAGATGGCAGACACATAGATGATAATGTAGGGAGGAGAAGGTAGATGGCAGACACATAGATGATAATGTAGGGAGGAGAAGGTAGATGGCAGACACATAGATGATAATGTAGGGAGGAGAAGGTAGATGGCAGACACATAGATATAAATAATAATGTAAGGAGGAGAAGGCAGATGACAGACACATAGATATAAATAATAATGTAAGGAGGAGAAGGAAGATGACAGACACATAGATAGAAATAATAATGTAGGGAGGAAAAGGCAAATAAACAGACTGAAATAATAATAACGCAGTGAGGAGTTGGCAGAAAAACAGATAGAAATAATAATATTGTGAGGAGTTGGCAGATAAACAGACAGAAATGATAATATAGTGAGGGAAAGGCAGATAAACAGACAGAAATTGTAATACAGTGAGGAAAAGGCAGATGAATGGACATAAATAAATAGCCAGACTGGAAACCATCAGATAAACAGGCTGACATAAACATGTAAAAGGGGGGAGAAGAAAAGACAGATCTATAAATCAAACTGGATAGATAAATGGGACGCAGATAGATAAATTAACAGAAGTAAACAGATATACATGAAGCAAGCAGAACAAGAAGATACAATCACCTTATAAATGGCTATGAAGTTAGCTGATTCGGTGAATAAGACATTGACTGACTGTCCGTGGATATCAGAAGTATAGCCGGATGCAAAGTCCGGGGTCACCCAGTACAGGCTCTCAGTGTCCAAGTCTATGGTTAGTGAAGTTTCATTGGTTACATAATTCCTAGTCACAGCTTCAACAGAGTCACTTGATCCATCCATGGCTGCTCGGAAAATGGAAAAATTTCGGGAACTGGAGTCTCCGCCAACAAAGAACAGATACCTGTTGATTTAGGGACAAAAAATGCACAAAATGAAAAACTTACGTTATGTTGTTATGTTATCACAATCGACGTCACAGCACACTGATTCTTTCATTTGGAAAATGTGCAGTCAAGTTAACCAAAGTCTTTGTCGTTGAATAACATAAGAAAAAGAACACTAAGTCTAAGCCCCCAGAAAGGGGGAAGTCAAACAGAGAAAGGACATAGTTGGTGTTAGTGCGGTCTTTCCGATTTGGCAGTCAGCAGAACACATTTTACTCTTTCAGGACAAAATTTGATTTCTGAAGTCTGGACAGCATTAATTTTGAGCTGAATTTATTTTACTGCAACATGACAAATCTAAAACCGTCCTGAAGGAAAAGTATAGGCTGTTTACATATATAAAATTAAAGAGAAATGAATACAGAGTACATCTAAACTATTGAAGTATCAGTTCTACCAAAAATAATTATCGAAATCCCACAACATTCAAGGATGCTAGACACATATGAAGATTTTTTACACATAAAATGGTGTGCTAATGTCAAATTGTACTGGTTCAAAACACTGCTATCCATTTCTAAGAATTCACATGCCTACTCTGTTTAATTATGCATCAGATAGTCTTTATTTGTAATAATTAATTCAAATACTTTGGATTTTATGATGATATGGCATGTAAAATCAATCTCACAACCGAATTCCTGACACAGCTGGTCGAAACAGGTATGATCTGACTGAAACATTTTCAATCTTCCTCCTAACCTATTTGATCAGCAATAGGTTTAGCACATGCATAATCAATCATGATATCAAGACGATTCTCACTAGGTGGCTAAGAATCATCACTAGTATGAACAGTTCTAGACCTTTTCCCTTATCATTGGTCTGGAAAAATCACAGAAAAATTGTATCAGATCTAATTAATTAAAAACAAATCTGAAAATTACCCAAAAACCACGCCCAACTTCAAAAATAAAAGGACTTCATTTGGATAATTCTAGTTTTTCGTTTTCTTTTTCTTTGCGTTTGGTTTGGCATGCTCAGATCGGATCATCAGGTGGGTAACCTCCATGAACTCCCATGTCAGTAGCAGGTCCTTCATGGCTCCCCATGTGCTCTACACACTTTGCTCTTGAGGCCAGGTGTCTTTTTGAAGTTGTAGGTCTGCAGAATGTGCTCAGGTGTTTGTGGTCCTGTTTGACAGCACACTGTGGGGACTGTACAATTTTTATTTTATGCATATGGTAATTGAGCCTGCAGTATTCTAGTTTGTTAAAATTCATTTTTCCAGGAAATGAAACAATATTAGAGTGTCTCTATGAAGCGCCATTATAGTGGTGTTTGGTCTGAACATGATGTATTCAAAAGCAGCTAAAGTGGCGTCCGGTCCATACGAGTTAAAAGGTCAGTGATTTCACTTACAAACACTAAACAAAAACCTGGCTCTTTAGAATGTAATCAGTTATTGTGACTATTATCAGTATGACTCTTAAAAAATATGGTGTCTGCGGCAGACTTTTGAAAATAAGGGGTCTCCAGGTCTCAGCTAATTGGAAACCACTGTGATTGTGATTTCATTTATCAAAGTTACATTACTCTGCTCACTTACCCATGATGGGGGGGTCAACAGTTATGGTTCTTGGGCTGTAGACTTCCTTTTTGACTGTATACAGAGTGTGTTCACATCTCAGGTCTACATTAACAACATAGATGGAGTTGTTGCTATCGGCGCAGTAAACATTCCTGAACTGTGAATTAATTTATGAAAGTTACACTACTCTGCTCACTTACCCATGATGGGGGTCCACCGTTATGGCTCTTGGACTGTAGACTTTATTCTTGACTGTATACAGAGTGCGCTCATATCTCAAGTCAACACTGACAACATGGACGGAGTTGTTGCTATCGGCATAGTAAACATTTCTGCCAGTCCAGTCAAAGGCCATGCCAGTGATTGTTGTGCCATTTCTATTCCGATGGATGATCTCATGATTCAGGACACTGCTATGGTTATTGGCTGCGAAACACTTCCTCTGTGGAAGGAGTAAATGAAAGAGAAGTATAGTACAGAGAACAGGACATGCCTCCCTCGACTATTATTTACATGATAAAATGAGGATGAGGGAAACTGGAACATGTGACCACTAGAACGAGTGGTGAAGAGAGAGACAGCTGCTGTCATGGCATGAAAAGATGTCAGCATAAAAGCTGACTTATGCTATCAGAGATGGTAAGCTGTGGTGGGGCATGTTCACTGACACCAGTTGGTAAGACACTCGATGATGATGAATGAAGATGCTTTGAAAAAAAAAATTAACCTACGATGAGAATTGGTTACTTATATGAAAACAATGTGAAAACTGGAGTGTGGCATGACAACAGGCAGGTTGTGATGAGAGTTGAGGGGAGATCAAAAGAGATAGTAAATAGTTTATGGGAAAAATTGGAGTGTGGCATGTCACAGGCAGTTTGTGGAGAGAGTTAAGAGGAGATGAAGAGAGAAATGAACCAGTCTCCACTCTGGTGGGATCATTATTCAATTATCTAAAATGTGTATGCGTATGTATTTGCCTGTGTGTGTATGTGTGGGTGCAAGTCTGCTGCCCCGTACGTATGCAGGTTTCTTTGCATGGCAGCCAGTGTGGCACAATGGTTGGACTCTCACCTGCTGGTGCACAGGAAGGTCTTGGTTTTAAATCCATACAGAGGCAGATTTGGCAGTCTGAAGCAGATATCCCAGGCAAAACTAATATACAAGATATACTTCTTCCCATAATCAAATGTGACTGGTACGTCACATTGACCCATTCACACAGGTCTTCACCTTCATATACCCTGTAATGCTCATACAGATAAAACAACTCTTCTCGTAATCTGCTATGCCTGACGCATGTTCATAACTGGTACATCAAACGCATATTCAAAAAAGCAGGTCAGCCAACTCGCTTACTCTCACTCACTCAGTCTCTCAATTACAAACACAATGAAACGGCCACCTGAAAAAACTCCTAACATTCATATACTCAGCAACATTCACATAGATGTAAAATTCTTCTCATAATAAAATGTCACTGGTATGTGAGACACGTGCTCATATAGCAGGTCAGCCCCCTCACTCACTGAAAAAGCTCCTAACCTTCACATCCCCATAAAATTCAAAATTCCTCTCAAAATCAAACATCAACATCACTGGTATGTTAGAAGCAATTTCGTCCAGCAGGTCAGCCCCCTTACTCACTCACTCTCTCACTCCTGAAAAAGCTCTGAACCATCAAATACCCAACAACATTCACATAGATGAGATTCTTCTCATAATCAAACATCACTGGTATGTCAGACACATGCTTATCCAGCTGGTCAGCCCGGCCCTCACTCATGAAAAAAGCTAATAATCTTCATATCCCCAACAACACATTGATGAGACAATTCTTCTCATAATCAAACGTCACTGGTACGTCAGACACATGCTCCTCCAGCCAGTCAGCCCTGCCCTCACTCACTAAAAAAGCTTCTAACCTTCATATCCCCAATAACATTCACATAGATGAGACAATTCTTCTCATAATCAAACGTCACTGGTACGTTAGACACATGCTCATCCAGCAGGTCAACCCGGGCTCCACTGGCCAGGTCAATCATCTGTACTTTGGACTCTAGAGTCACTAACAGAAACTCAGTTCGTTCTGTGGATGGAAGGCATTTGTTACAGAAGACAAAGATGCAGTTACCAAAATCAGGTCAAAGTACTTTTTATTTATTATCCTGATGTGTCATTTATGCCTAACTGTAAATAATAATGTTATTTGGTAAATTCTTGTCCTTCTTCTTTGTGCTCAACGGCTGTTCATCCACTTCTGGACTTTAGTCTTGCTCCAGAACTTGAGTTTTGTTTGTATGCACATTCGTTTTAGTTCTTCATCTTTGCAGTCACTTGCAATAAACTATGGCCTAAAGTCCCGACTACTTGAGTTTTGTGTGCAAGTGTTACAGGTCTGGCTTTTTTTTCTATGTGGACTTTTGGTTTCTCATCTCTCAGGCAGATACAATCCAACATTGAAGGAAACATCCCTAATCAGCAAACTATCATGGCAAACTCTTGAGGGGTATAGCGGGTCTCTACTCCCCCCTACCTCAATAATGAGAACCTAGAACCCACACAGGGATTTTGCCATTAAACATAGGAAAAGCAGTGGAGAAAACTGCTATGACTGGACAGTTCAGCAGTGGTACAGGAACATCATGAGGAATTATTGGACAGTTCAGCAGTGGTACAGGAACATCATGAGGAATTATTGGACAGTTCAGCAGTGGTACAGGAACATCATGAGGAATTATTGGACAGTTCAGCAGTGGTACAGGAACATCATGAGGAATTATTGGACAGTTCAGCAGTGGTACAGGAACATCATGAGGAATTATTGGACAGTTCAGCAGTGGTACAGGAACATCATGAGGAATTATTGGACAGTTCAGCAGTGGTACAGGAACATCATGAGGAATTATTGGACAGTTCAGCAGTGGTACAGGAACATCATGAGGAATTATTGGACAGTTCAGCAGTGGTACAGGAACATCATGAGGAATTATTGGACAGTTCAGCAGTGGTACAGGAACATCATGAGGAATTATTGGACAGTTCAGCAGTGGTACAGGAACATCATGAGGAATTATTGGACAGTTCAGCAGTGGTACAGGAACATCATGAGGAATTATTGGACAGTTCAGCAGTGGTACAGGAACATCATGAGGAATTATTGGACAGTTCAGCAGTGGTACAGGAACATCATGAGGAATTATTGGACAGTTCAGCAGTGGTACAGGAACATCATGAGGAATTATTGGACAGTTCAGCAGTGGTACAGGAACATCATGAGGAATTATTGGACAGTTCAGCAGTGGTACAGGAACATCATGAGGAATTATTGGACAGTTCAGCAGTGGTACAGGAACATCATGAGGAATTATTGGACAGTTCAGCAGTGGTACAGGAACATCATGAGGAATTATTGGACAGTTCAGCAGTGGTACAGGAACATCATGAGGAATTATTGGACAGTTCAGCAGTGGTACAGGAACATCATGAGGAATTATTGGACAGTTCAGCAGTGGTACAGGAACATCATGAGGAATTATTGGACAGTTCAGCAGTGGTACAGGAACATCATGAGGAATTATTGGACAGTTCAGCAGTGGTACAGGAACATCATGAGGAATTATTGGACAGTTCAGCAGTGGTACAGGAACATCATGAGGAATTATTGGACAGTTCAGCAGTGGAAGAGGTACAGGAACATCATGAGGAATTATTGGACAGTTCAGCGGTGGAAGAGGTACATGAACATCATGAGGAATTATTGGACAGTTCAGCAGTGGAAGAGGTACATGAACATCATGAGGAATTATTGGACAGTTCAGCAGTGGAAGAGGTACATGAACATCATGAGGAATTATTGGACAGTTCAGCGGTGGAAGAGATACAGGAACATCATGAGGAATTATTGGACAGTTCAGCGGTGGAAGAGATACAGGAACATCATGAGGAATTATTGGACAGTTCAGCGGTGGAAGAGATACAGGAACATCATGAGGAATTATTGGACAGTTCAGCAGTGGTACAGGAACATCATGAGGAATTACTGGACAGTTCAGCAGTGGAAGAGATACAGGAACATCATGAGGAATTATTGGACAGTTCAGCGGTGGAAGAGATACAGGAACATCATGAGGAATTATTGGACAGTTCAGCGGTGGAAGAGATACAGGAACATCATGAGGAATTATTGGACAGTTCAGCGGTGGAAGAGATACAGGAACATCATGAGGAATTATTGGACAGTTCAGCGGTGGAAGAGATACAGGAACATCATGAGGAATTATTGGACAGTTCAGCGGTGGAAGAGATACAGGAACGTCATGAGGAATTATTGGACAGTTCAGCGGTGGAAGAGATACAGGAACATCATGAGGAATTATTGGACAGTTCAGCGGTGGAAGAGATACAGGAACATCATGAGGAATTATTGGACAGTTCAGCGGTGGAAGAGAAAGAGGAACATCATGAGGAATTATTGGACAGTTCAGCGGTGGAAGAGATACAGGAACATCATGAGGAATTATTGGACAGTTCAGCAGTGGAAGAGGTACATGAACATCATGAGGAATTATTGGACAGTTCAGCAGTGGAAGAGGTACATGAACATCATGAGGAATTATTGACAGTTCAGCGGTGGAAAAGGTACATGAACATCATGAGGAATTATTGGACAGTTCAGCAGTGGAAGAGATACAGAAACATCATGAGGAATTATTGGACAGTTCAGCAGTGGAAAAGGTACATGAACATCATGAGGAATTATTGGACAGTTCAGCAGTGGAAGAGGTACATGAACATCATGAGGAATTATTGACAGTTCAGCGGTGGAAAAGGTACATGAACATCATGAGGAATTATTGGACAGTTCAGCAGTGGAAGAGATACAGAAACATCATGAGGAATTATTGGACAGTTCAGCGGTGGAAAAGGTACATGAACATCATGAGGAATTATTGGACAGTTCAGCAGTGGAAGAGGTACAGGAACATCATGAGGAATTATTGGACAGTTCAGCAGTGGAAAAGGTACATGAACATCATGAGGAATTATTGGACAGTTCAGCGGTGGAAGAGGTACATGAACATCATGAGGAATTATTGGACAGTTCAGCAGTGGAAGAGGTACATGAACATCATGAGGAATTACTGGACAGTTCAGCGGTGGAAGAGGTACAGGAACATCATGAGGAATTATTGGACAGTTCAGCGGTGGAAGAGGTACAGGAACATCATGAGGAATTATTGGACAGTTCAGCAGTGGAAGAGGTACATGAACATCATGAGGAATTACTGGACAGTTCAGCGGTGGAAGAGGTACAGGAACATCATGAGGAATTATTGGACAGTTCAGCAGTGGAAGAGGTACAGGAACATCATGAGGAATTATTGGACAGTTCAGCGGTGGAAGAGGTACAGGAACATCATGAGGAATTATTGGACAGTTCAGCAGTGGAAAAGGTACAGGAACATCATGAGGAATTATTGGACAGTTCAGCAGTGGAAGAGGTACAGGAACATCATGAGGAATTATTGGACAGTTCAGCGGTGGAAGAGGTACAGGAACATCATGAGGAATTATTCTAGATCACTGATTCCCAAATAGCTAAGACCTGTGGTTAGAAAGTTAGTTGCGTGTCATTTACAGGACGTTGCAGAACAAACCCCAGAATTTTTATTTTGCTTGTTGTGGCTTTTCTAGGCAAATTTACGTCCAGTAGTTGCCACTGCCTTCTGGGCCGTCGGCTTCTTGATACCACTGTTGAAACCAATGCAAGGCGCAAGGCCCGCAGCTGGTATCGAACCCGGTAGCCCGGCATTATAAAGAAGACCTGTGGACCAATTTTATTCTGAAGGTCTCACATGGACCGGTACTTTTCAATAGTCATACTGAAGAGCTTATAATGATAAACATTAAGCGAAAGACCCTTTTCCCTGCCTTCTGGCCTACTGGGCACATCAGGTTAGACCTATACTTTACAGACCATAATTATCAACATTAAAATAGAAAGAAAAAAAAAGGATTGTATTCTAAAGCTAAAGTTTTTTTTTTTTTTAATCAATGATTTCTTCTTCTTCTATTCCATGCTTGGTGGCGTTGGTAGTCATGTCTATCCCAACCTTTTGTCCTGTGTACTTTCAAACAATTCCGACAAAGATGATCTTCCATTCCATGATGTAACACTGTCCAGCATCTTTTCTCTCAGTTCCCCCTCTCATGTTTTCCCCTCCAATTCTCTCACCATCACGACATACTCCAGTTTTAACCTTCTCATGACATGAACAAAGAAGGTAGATTGTCTCCTTCTGATGTGGGCAATCGGTTCACTTCGTGAGCCAGCTTCTTTCAAGACATTTTCATCATTCATCTACAAAACCACATTCCCACCACATCCACATAATTTTTCACTTTTGGCTAAATGTCCATGATTCACTTCCATATATCAAGATAGGATTTATGTAACTTTTAAGAATTCTCTTTCTCACCCCAATTAATCAAAGTTGCAACAAATATTCTACATTTTGTAAAATGCTACCTTTGCTTGAGCTATTCTATATTTAACTTCTTTAATACATCTTTGAACTGATAATATCAGGGCACCCAACTATTTAAACATATCAATTTGCTTGAAGATTGTCCCATTTATTTAGATGTTGCACATTGTGGGGTCCATTTTCATTGTAATTACCTTTACTTCTGTTTTTCTGCTATTTCAACTAAGAACCTTGCAGTGACTTTGTGTTACAATTATGTCACTGACTACCACTATTATATTCAAGCAAAGCATACTAACCCTGTATTGGGCATGAGTACAGTAGAGGTCTGTATCTATGTTCTGCTCCGCCAGTGCAAGTGTCCCCTGCTATCTTACGGTACCTGCAATAATGACCAAAGCAACAATGGAAGTTTGGATGGGTATGTTGAAAGCAAAACCGTTGGTAATTGCCTCATTCAGCTATATGTGTCTATGTTTGAGCTGTCCAGTCGGCAAAAGGCCTCCAGTTGCACTACCTAGTATTCATTCGAGTGATTTAGAAGTTATTGGATGGAAAAGGGGTTAGAAGTTACTGAAGGGCAAGTAGTTTAAAGGTTTATAAGGGTCAGGTTGTTGGAGGTTACTGGAAGAGTTACTGGAGGGCAAGGGTTCAAGGGTTACTGGAGGTCAGGTGGATAGAGGTTACCAGAGGGCTAGTGGTTCAAGGGTTACTTGAGGTGGTTAGAGATTATTGGAGGGCAAGTGGTTTAAAGGTTACTAGAGGTCAGGTAGTTAGAGGGCTGTGGGGAGTTACCAGCTGATCTGGCCGACGCTTAACATTCAAAGGAAGACGAAGACGCACATACAATCAACCAGCTACTGGTACCATCGGAACTGGAACTCTTCACTTGCTGCTGAAGATGGGGACAGAGTGCTTATGGGATTGCCTTTAGTGTTGTGTAGTGTTGATTCTTAATTCAACATTTAATATTCAAAGTATTTAAAGGAAACTGGAGGGCATGATGTTAAAATGTTACTAGAGGTCAGGTGGTTAGAGCTTACCGGAGGGTTAACCCACGATCTTCAGATCCGAAGGTGAGCATCTAGCCACTACACCTTGGCAGCTAGCACTTACCACTAAAGGTTTTTTTGTTGTTTAATATTGGCTATCTCCAAAGTGAAGGCTGGCTACAGTCTACTAATGTTGTCTTGGAGAACATAACGACTCCCCTACCATGGCTACAGTCTACTAATGTTGTCTTGGAGAACAAAACGACTCCCCTACCATGGCTACAGTCTACCAATGTTGTCTTGGAGAACATAACGACTCCCCTACCATGGCTACAGTCTACCAATGTTGTCTTGGAGAACAAAACGACTCCCCTACCATGGCTACAGTCTACTAATGTTGTCTTGGAGAACATAACGACTCCCCTACCATGGCTACAGTCTACTAATGTTGTCTTGGAGAACATAACGACTCCCCTACCATGGCTACAGTCTTCTAATGTTGTCTTGGAAAACATAACGACTCCCCTACCATGGCTACAGTCTACCAATGTTGTCTTGGAAAACATAACGACTCCCCTACCATAGCTACAGTCCACTAATGTTGTCTTGGAGAACAAAACGACTTCCCTACCATGGCTACAGTCTACTAATGTTGTCTTGGAGAACATAACGACTCCCCTACCATGGCTACAGTCTACCAATGTTGTCTTGGAGAACAAAACGACTCCCCTACCATGGCTACAGTCTACCAATGTTGTCTTGGAGAACAAAACGACTCCCCTACTATGGCTACAGTCTACCAATGTTGTCTTGGAGAACATAACGACTCCCCTACCATGGCTACAGTCTACCAATGTTGTCTTGGAGAACATAACGACTCCCCTACCATGGCTACAGTCTACTAATGTTGTCTTGGAGAACATAACGACTCCCCTACCATGGCTACAGTCTACCAATGTTGTCTTGGAGAACATAACGACTTCCCTACCATGGCTACAGTCTACCAATGTTGTCTTGGAGAACATAACGACTCCCCTACCATGGCTACAGTCTACAAATGTTGTCTTGGAGAACATAACGACTCCCCTACCATGGCTACAGTCTACTAATGTTGTCTTGGAGAACATAACGACTCCCCTACCATGGCTACAGTCTACAAATGTTGTCTTGGAGAACATAACGACTCCCCTACCATGGCTACAGTCTACCAATGTTGTCTTGGAGAACATAACGACTCCCCTACCATGGCTAAAGTCTACCAATGTTGTATTGGAGAACATAACGACTCCCCTACCATGGCTACAGTCTACTAATGTTGTCTTGGAGAACATAACGACTCCCCTACCATAGCTACAGTCTACTAATGTTATCTTGGAGAACAAAACGACTCCCCTACCATGGCTAATGTCTCCCAATGTTGTCTTGGAGAACATAACGACTCCCCTACCGTGGCTACAGTCTACCAATGTTGTATTGGAGAACATAACGACTCCCCTACCATGGCTACAGTCTACTAATGTTGTCTTGGAGAACATAACGACTCCCCTACCATGGCTACAGTCTACCAATGTTGTCTTGGAGAACATAACGACTCCCCTACCATGGCTACAGTCTACCAATGTTATCTTGGAGAACATAACGACTCCCCTACCATGGCTACAGTCTACTAATGTTGTCTTGGAGAACAAAACAACTCCTCTACCATAATCCGAAAAACCCCTAGTGTAGTTTCTATTTAATCGTCCACCGTGGGAAACCAACCCTAGCATTCAATGACCGTGAACTGATAATCTTACAGGTGTAAACGGAAACAATTTACATTTGCAAACAATTTCAAAGGGAACCACAAACTAAGCAGTGACCAAACAGTCTACTCACCCCCGAGTGTAAGAATAGAATGCTCCAGGTGGGCAATGGGTTGGGATCTGATAAACATCAGCATCTCTCACACTGGTGTCTCGCTGGCATCTTCCACCAACGTTTTGAAAGCCAAAGTCACTGAAATATTGTGATAGAAGAAAAAAGGTCATCCTAGGGTTACTGCGCTCATTCACTACACCTCACTATCTGCTCTCTACCTGTGAAATCCGATACCCGGCATGCTTTCTTGGACTTGCCTCCTGGACTCAGTATTGTTACCTTCCATCTATCTTACCTTCTTCTTCTTCGTTCACCGGCTGTGAATTCCGGCGGAAGGTCCCGGTTAATCGTCCGCTTGGACTTTTGGCGTTTACCTGGACCTGAATTTTGCGTGTACAACCGTTTTGTTGTTCCCTGCATCATGGGCAGATGTACTCCGACTTCGAGGGATATCTTACCATTTCTAAGTTGTTTTGGTTTCCCTCCAGTGTTCCTAGATTATGTCTACTTCTAGACATTATTGTAAATACATGTGCTTAGTTATACACTGCATTAATACACTTGGCTCTGTCATCATAGCATTACATTTGCCCTGCTGTTTAATTAGGCAACCTGCATGCCACTGTTAATATATCATCATCATGTAATCATCATCATGTGTCATGCTGATAACCCAACATGTGCTAGAATACCCTAATTTATCTCTTTACTGCAAAATAACATAAGTACTACTTACATGACTTTCAAAAAGGTTTCATGAATTCTCTGACGCTCTCAGTTCTATCATCATTACCCGTGGGGTTTCTTCAACCCCCCCAATGGCGTTCTTGTGGTCTCAGTCAGAGCAAGTGCACACTGTCTATCTGCTCCAGCAATATATGAGACTTACGCCCAGTTTATCCCTCCTGTGCCCAGTTTATCCCTCCTATACGCAGTGTATCCCTCCTGTACTCAGTGTATCCCTCCTGTGCCCAGTGTATCCCTCCTGTACCCAGAGAAGTCTAGCGATCTCTCTGGCAAACCTACTCAACCCAAGATTACAAGAACTAAGTTTATAAAAAAGAACAAAATATGAATCCTTCTAACAGAAATATGCAAATCAATCCACTCAGTCACCAAAAGTTTCATCCTTCATACAAATGGGTCAGATCTGTAAAACAGATGCACATGCAACACTCAGGTTCTGGAACAGGACTGCAGTCCAGAAGTGGATGAACAATCAGAACTTTCGGCCAGAGTTTACAGCTGGTGAACGCAAAGAAGAAGAAGAAGAATTTCTTTGCCAAAACAGCAGTTATGAAGTTGGACAGGGAAGCAGTGATTTCGATCACAGGCATGTGGAAAAGTTAGGTCCATTGTGCAGTGTATAAGGGCCTGTACGTCACCCTTGGGCAGCAGTAGGCCACGAGGGTCCATAAAACAAACACAGAGCCTACTCAGGACCGGCTCCAGCTGACGGGCCGTGCTGCTGACGTCACCGGGTCAGGCTAACGATGCACTAAGGCAGCGGTTCCCAAACTGGGTGCCGAGCACCCCGGGGTGTCGTGAGCGTATGCCAGGGGTGCCGCAGCAATAATCAAGAAAAGTCGGCTAAAAATTGTGACATTATTAAAAAAGGCACGTAGACACTTAAAATTTAAAAAAAATGTAGGTTGTCATTCCCCGCCCCTGTCGAAAATAGCTTATTTCTTGTTTGAGATTGTCTGCGTTAACGCAACATCAGCCCGACCTGGTGAAGTCAGCAGCATGGTCCGTCTGCAGGAGCCGGTCGTGAGTAGGCTCTGTGTTTGTTTTATGGACCTTCATGCAAGACTCCTGCCACAAGTCTCTGTTGTGCACCTCAGATAATAGCCTATGTCAGGGCTATTCAATTAAGTTCACTCAGGGCAAAACTGTGAAAAGGGATCGTCATGGGCCAAAGGACTGAGCCCCAGTGTTGAAAGATCGTTTCATTATACAACCAACAATGATACAGGGGCCACTTACTAGGCCTCCAAAGGCCAAATCAGCCTGCAGTCTGCCAGTCGACCTAAACAAAGATGGCAGAGAATCTCTGAACAGGTGGCCCTTTGAGCTGCCGTGCCCAGTAAACCTCTGGCACTCTTCAGCCCCCACACCCCCTTTCCCACCAAACGACATGGATGACAACGTCTACACAGAACTTTAGAACTGATTGCACAATAGTTCACAGTCTGAGTTTCTGAAATCTTTTGTCTGAGAGTCCTACTAAATGACAACAAAAGATTTAGATAGGCTTCTGTTATCCTAGAGATAAGACTGACGTTTCTTTTGAAGTCAGAGTTCATCTGCCTGACAGGCAAAGAAACAACAGACTGCACAGATCTGTAACACAGATGCGCATGTAAAAACTCCTGAAACAAAACAAAACTCCTGGAACAAAGACCTTTGTTCTGATCCCTGACAGAGTGGAGTGATTTGTGTATTTCTGTCAGCGGCCACAGCTCCTTGATACATGACAAAATCTACTAAAATCATTACTGCAGCCTCACCACTCAAAGTCCTCCCTCCTGCAGGAGCAGTTGCTGATCAGAGACTGCCTCATGAAGATTTCTCCATTGTAGCAGACCGCATGGGCGATGCGACGCTGATAGGTCGTCACATGACCCAGCAGGCAGCCTGTCCCATTTGGAAGATCTTCACCCACTGACCACATCTTGTAGTCTGAAGGTCCACATTTTTTACCTGCAGAGGCAAAAAAAAACATGCAGATCTGCCAATGTGGTCACAATGCAAAATGGGTACCATATATATACAAACACACATAAAACCTGAGCTGAAAACAATTATGTGGTCTTTGTTATCTAAAATATGCGTAATAATTCTTCTTCTGTGTTCATCCTTTAAAAAAAAAAAGGCAGCTGGCATGTTGTCTTGCGGTCTACAGCTCTGCTGTGATATCTGCACCTTTCAGCCCAATACATCCTATTTAAGCAAAACCCAAATTTGTCACCTTTTTATGCCATGCTTGTTAACTATTTCGGCCTAATAAGAGTTTTTTTTTTTAAATAATCAATTAAAAAAAATATTGCCACAAAAACTCTAACCACTTGCTGTTTTGTAGGAATAAGAAAAGGAATGAAAGATACCTCTGTGGTTGCCAGATTTATTTAGTATACACTGACCAAAACTTGAAGATAAAAAGACACTTGATGTGATGTTTGAGATGTGAGGAATAGTCACTAACACATCATGCATTGCCTGGGACCAAGAGAGTTAAGGGGCAGTGGATCCCTCCCAATGAAGTCACAGAATTAGAAGATGATATATTAATTTATGCAATGTTTTAATGACATTAAAATATACACTAAAACCTCATTAACACAACTCCCTAAAGAAGAACACTTGGTTGATTTTTTTTGTTTTGTTTAGTCTAGCAGGGGTGTTTTATTAGTAATTCCTGGTTAGCTCTAATTTTTCCTTAAACACGAACTCAACTTCTTCTTTTGTAATTTGTCTTAACGTGGTTTTACTGTAGATCCTCATGAGGATCAATTATCGCCACAAGACACAGATTTATGGTGAACTGTTCAGTCTGTCTGCCTCGAGCTCTGAAGGTTGTGTGTTTCTTTCCTGGCTGTGCCAATCGGTGCAGTTAGTGCAGTTTTCAAGAAGACCCCCTAGGGTAACCATGAGACTGCGCAGACCTGACAATGATGAGGTTACTGACAGAAGACAATAATGAGACTGTGTAGACAGAACGATAATGAGGATGTGTTGATAAGACAATGATGAGGCTGTATAGAAGACAAGATATAGATAATAATAAAGATTTTTTTTTAACTGCTACTATAAAATAAAGCTTTGGTAGTGCAATGTCTAAACATATGCCTATCAGCTCACAGTACATGAGTTCAAATCTTGTTTTGAGCATTCTTCTTCTTATTTTTTCAACATAAGTAACCTGCCTGCAGCCCTGCCTACAAAAAAAACTCTGCCACTTCTATAGACAGATCCCCGACTCTGTTACAGGAGGCGATCGCTTAAACCACAGCAGCTCCCATATAAAATATAAAAATGTGACTAATGCTGCTGATGCTCCTTGTTAATTCACCGGCTGTAAACGTCATAGACAATTTCTGGTTGTTTGTCTACTTCTGGATTTGGTCTTGTTTGAGAGTTTTTTTGTGCACATCCCTTTTACAGATCTGGCTTATTTGTATGCAGACAGATGGCTCCTTACCTCTCAGGGAGATGCACACCCCCACTCTCAAGGAAACACCCCTAATTAGTCTACTTTTACAACAAGCCTTTTTAGAGGGACAGTGGATCATTCCCCCCTCCTACTCCCCAAAAGGGACTCTGTAGAGGGACAGTGGATCATTCCAACCTCCTACTCCCCAAAAGGGACTCTGTATTCAGCAACTTGAAAGCAGCTCAGGTCTTACCCTCAAAAACATCCTTGAAGTCCACCTGAATGATCTGCCACTTGTGGGGGCCTCTAGGTGAGCCGAAGACTGAGAACACAGTGCTGTTCTCCCCAGGCTCTGTCAGTAAGCCATAGACTCGAATTTTATCCTTGACTATTGTGTAGTTGTGCCAAGTTTCCCCCTCGTCAATTGAGTATCTGCAAGAAGTAAACTAGGCATGTTTATGTGCTATCATAAAGGAAGCTTCTTTATATGCCATCATAAAGAAAGCCTCTTTATATGCCATCATAAAGTAAGCTCCTTCAGAAGACATCATAAAGTAAGCTTCTTTATATGCCATCATTAAGTAAGCTTCTTTATATGCCATCATAAAGTAAGCTTCTTTATATGCCATCATTAAGTAAGCTTCTTTATATGCCATCATTAAGTAAGCTTCTTTATATGCCATCATAAAGTAAGCTTCTTCATAAGGCATCACAAAGTAAGCTTCTTTATATGCCATCACAAAGTAAGCTTCTATAAAGGCCATAATATAGTAAGCTTCTTTATAGGCCAACGTAAAGTAAGCTTCTTTATATGCCATCACAAAGTAAGCTTCTTTATAGGCCAACGTAAAGTAAGCTTCTTTATATGCCATCACAAAGTAAGCTTCTTTAAAGACCATCATATAGTAAGCTTCTTTATATGCCATCATAAAGTAAGCTTCTTTATATGCCGTCATAAAGTAAGCTTCTTTAAAGACCATCATATAATAAGCTTCTTTATATGCCATCATAAAGTAAGCTTCTTTATAGGCCATGCATAAAGGGCGACTGGGACACTGTGTTGTGGTTAACAGCAATGCTGTGACATCTGCGTCCTCTGACCCAACACATCCTTTTTCAGCAAACTAATTAATTGTTTTGTACGACATGCTTGTTTGGGGGAGGGGCAGCGGGTCTATTCTTTTATCCCTAATATGGGGCACCGAAAACTACTCATGGAACTTTCAAGAACATTTACTGGTACCCTTCTGTGACTGGTCGACCTGGGAAACTTGGATCAATTATGCAAATGTGCCCTGGTCTAGATCTAAACTGACACATTTGGATGGGCAAGGAAACATTTAGAAACTGTGCTTGTGTGGCTCTAATTGGAGATCTGGAGTGAAGCTAGTTTTTAAAAACAAATGAAAACAAATGGAAAAAAAAAAAAGAAGATGAAAAGTAAAATGATGACAAAAAAGGGCGAGGAAGGATGAGAAGAAAAAGAAAAAAGAAGAAGAAGGGGGAGGGGGAGAAGAAGGGGAAGAAGAAGAAGAACCTGATGAAACAAACAAAACTCAAAACACACACAAAGTGATAAACCCAGCACTCACACAACTTTATCCGTGAGCACATACTGATGAACAGCCACAATGATACCACCATGGTCAGCAGTGGCATACAAGTAACTTCCAGACAGGGCCTGCCTCCAGGAAATACCCGCGTTAGAGGAGACAAACACATCCGGGTTGCTCTTTAGAGTCCTACCCATGAACCCCGAGGCAATCACTAAACCTGAAGGGGATTAGCAAACAACTGTATTAAAAAAGTTCCAATACTTAAAAAACAAAAACAAAAAACAAAAAAAAAGTTGAATTAAGTAAAGGACTCTTTCCCATCTTCAGGTGTGTTGGGCATATAGGGCTAGACCTATTTTTTTATAGATCCATCAACATTTGGTGGGTGATGTGGTCAGCATCAAGGTGGCTGCCTTTACTTCCCACGTTTAACCACGACTGCCTAGAAAAGCTGAATTAGCAAAGAATGATTAAGTACATTGTTAGCAATAAAATTTGTACCAACCCGGGGGCTACTAATAATGCATTCCTGCTGGGACCAACATTTTATTTAAGTTAACCGTGTGTTCTTTTTAGATGAGTTGGCATATACAAGGTTTTACTGTAGTTAGAGAAAAAAGTTGTTAAAAAGCATATCACCAATAATTACTGCCATCATGAGCGCTAACAGACTGCAATGGTCATGGCATATAGAGAGAATCCCAGATAACAAAAAGAATGGGAGCAGACCAAGAAGATAGTAAGTAAAAAGTAAAAAAGGACCATTTTCCATGCCTTGACCCGTATTGGACATAGAGCGATAGACCCAATCGGCAATTGGGGGGTGATGTAGTCAGCATTACGCCGGCAAGAAGATGGTGGATAGATAATATTCAGACAGACCTAAAAGTACTAATAATCAACCACTGAAAAAATGCTGGTCACAGAGATAAACAGAGGCAGGTGATATCTGCCACAATGAAAATCAAGGGCTTGGAATGCTGAAGCAGAAAAAGAAGAATTATATAGTAACAAGGCTGAATCAGATAGAATACTTAAACTTTTCATAGTAAAGATAATGTCGAATAAATTAAACAAAATTTTTTTTTAATTTAGCTGTACCATTTATTGCCAGGCATATTTTGCTGTATCTTGTCATGTGCGTTACTAGTTAGAGTTACATCAACACATAATGAAGCACAAAAAAGCCATCTACTTGATTCCCACTGGACATGTAATGGACAAGCACAGTGCTTTCTGTGTTATTTACCACACATCAAACAAGCGAATGCTTAGACTAGCCGAAGCTTTAACAATAAAAATGAAAAATCCCCCCCCCCCCCCTTATGTAAACAGAAGGAATTCATAATAAACTTTAAATTACCCTGGTAAGCTATGTGAATATTGTAAACTTCCAGTGATTCAAAAAACAATATATTGATAGGGACACAGCCCAAGTTATCCCAAAACTTAGTCACTCCCCCTGCACTATGCTCACTCCACTGTGATTCTATTTGTGCTTCCACACTGTTCACTTACCACCAAAGGAGCTTGACAATATCTAGCTTGCCATGCACCAATTTACCAACCAACGGTTCAAAATCAGCCAATCTGTCTGCCTCCAACACAACTGCATGCCCAGCAAAAAATATCTAAATGATGCTAACTACCCGAGACCTCTTAAGTGATGCTTGCATGTGAGCAAATAAACAAATAAAGTAATTCATGAATTCACCTGGAGACGAGCTCTGGGTGAGAATCGGATTAGCCTGAGTATTTGGATACAATTTGTGGAACTCCTGTGTCAGATGCAGGGAGCAGTTCTCTGCCTGAAAAGACATCATCATCATGATCTCATCATCAACAAAGATATGAAACAAGGTCAATCAACATCAACAAAGATATGAAACAAGGTCAATTAACATCAAAAGTTGAACTCTTCTTCTTCTTATTGTTCAATGTCCACTTATGGTTGGTCTTGTTACAGAACTTGAATTTTGTGTGCATATCCATTTTACGGATCTGGTTTATTTGTAAGCAGACTGTTGGTTCCTTGTATCTCATGCAGATTCACCCCGACTTCGAAGGAAATTCTTCTTAGTTGCTTTGTATGTTATGCTTGTTACTGAGGCAATGGGTCTAATGCCCCCCCTCCCCCTCCAGAAAGGGGGCCGGGATCCCACACATGGAAAAAAAAACTATTCAGCTTCACTGTGTGGGTTCTGGGACCCCATTGTGCAACAAACAAGAAAAGACCCACTGCCTCCCCAACAAGCATGTCATAAGAGTCAACTAATTGGGGGGTTTCTTCATACTCGAAGTGCATCTGCCTGAGAGGCAGGGAACCAACAGTCTGTATATAAGTAAGTCAGATCTGTAAAATGGATGTGCACACAACACTCAGGTTCTAGAACAAGACTAATGTCCAGAGGTGGATGAACAACCAGAACATTCCGCTGAAGTTTACAGCCGGTGAAGAAGAAGAAGACAATACCACAATCATGCATGACAAAATGAACACTGTGGCTAGATAGCCTTCATCAGCACTCAGCACAAATGGGCAATGAAACACTTACAAACCAGAATACATAGAAAAAAACAGTTTTAAAGTCAGGCATGTCACAAAACATCCATCCGTGCTTGATCAGTAGAGGCTGTGTATTACATGTCATCACAAGAGTATGATAACGGACCGACAGTGGAGAGGTTATAAAGGTTGGTTGCGTATCCTTTACAGAACATTGCAGAACCAGCCCCAACAGCCCCTGGCTGTTGTGTGGTTTTTCTAGGCAAATTCACATCCAGTAGTTTGCCACTGCTTTCTGGATGGTAGGCTTTCTTGATACCACTGTCAAAACCAACGTAAGGAGCATAGCCCGCAGCTGGGATCGAACCCGGCATCCCGGCATTACAAAGCGTTCGCATCGACTTAGCCACAGAGCAAAAGAGAGGTTAGTTGCGTTTCCTTTACAGGACGTTGCAGAACCAACCCCAACAGCCCCTAGCGGTTGCGTGGTTTTTTTCTAGGCAAATTTACATCCAGTAGTTAATAAGGTTAGTTGCGTATCCTTTACAGAACGTCGCAGAACCAACCCCAACAGCCCCTGACTGTTGTGTGGTTTTTTCTAGCCAAATTTACATCCAGTAGTTTGCCATTGCTTTCTGGACGGTCGGCTTTCATGATACCACTGTCGAAACCAACGTACTTCATATCATGTCTTCATTACCAAAATGTTTTTTCATATGGTGGCTTCTTCTTCTCCTCCAGTTTCTTTTCTTCTCCTTTGTCTATTCAGCGATCTATATCTGGTATATGCTTATTCCAGCATTGCTTACAAACAAAAAAGCACACATGAATTCTTCTTCACTCTTCCCCTATAGTTTGTCTTACAGCCTACTCCACAGAAAAACATTCATCTCCTAAATCATTTCTCTACTGCCACAAAGCCTTGTTGTTTTAACTTGTTACTTCAGGAACTGTCCAACTATAAAATCTGTAACTCAGTAACCATTCGGTATCATCATTATCAGGTGCCTTGCCGACTGGCGTGAGCAATTATGCCTCTCCACAATCTGGGATCTCCTGCAACATGTATCAGTTCGTGTGCTGACACACCTCCATGCCATGCAACAAGACTGTCAAGAATCTTCTCTCGTTGTCTTCCTCTATCCCTCCTTCCACAGATCTTTCCAGTGATCACAACATGTTTTATTTTCCCTCATCTCATAACATGGCCGAAAAATGATGACTGTGTCCTTCTGATGTCTGTGATAAGTTGTCTTCCGGCTCCCGCCTCTTTCAAAACCTCTTGGTTGCTATTTTTGGCTGTCCAAGGTATTCTTAGAATTCTTCTGTAAAACCACATCTCTGAGGACTCAATAAATTTTGGCCTGCCTAGCGACTGTCCAGGATTCACAGCCATGTAAATCGTTCGGTGTAAGTTTTTTAAATTTGGCCCGCAACTTGTTCATAATCTTCGCCTTGCAAGCATTTAAAAACAAATCTAACCAAAGATCTAGTTTTCATTTTGCCTTATTTATGTTATATGAAAAAATAGACAATTATTCAAAGCAAACCATCAGCATGTTTACAATTAAACAAGTAACAGGAACTGTTCAAAACATCAAATAGCACGTGTATTATAGACGTTTCACTCTCAGATGGTCATCTCCAGCATTAGCCTCCCATGAGTTGAGATTTCTCATTGTATGCAGTATAGGCTATCAAAATAATCACCAATCATCACTGGACATGTGAACTGATTTCCAAACAATCTCCACTAGTGTGTCAATTACTTCATATTATATATTTTGTTTAGGGGTACACAAATTATTAATCAAACAAAGACAACAGAAAGTTGCTGCTTTAACTCTTTGAGTCCCAGGGGGTTTAGCATCACAGGCCCAAGGGGTAGTCAAGAGAGACGTAAAATCGGCACATCTTGCGTTCATTGGGCTTGTAGGTAGGAATCTATGAATGTATGATGCGTTCCTTGGGACTCAAAGAGTTAAGGAAAACAGCAGCACCAGTGCCACTGTAAATAATAAAATCACAAGGAAATGGGAAATCTAAGGCCATATGCAAAAAATGTATGTTGATCCATAAAGGAGATTTTGAGATATTTTTAAAAGTGTGAGGGCGCAAGCTTTGAAACGCACTATTACAGCACTTCTGGCACACTGAAAGATGCTACTGTCTACTAAGACAAATTTAATAAGTAGTATTGTTTGGCCAACTTTATACTACTGGTGTCAAACACGGACCCTTAATACCACTCAGCGTCACTGTCATAATTTGTCCATGACCAGGGCGGCACAGGGGACCCAGTTGCGTTGCCATATGTTTGATTTAACCTCCTTCTTCTCAAATACTCAGTATGTGAATATATTAACTAACTATACCCAATTACATTGCCCCCATATGTGTGATTTAACCTCCTTCTTCTCAAATACTCAGTATGTGAATATATTAACTAACTATACCCAATTACATTGCTCCCATATGTGTGATTTAACCTCCTTCTTCTCAAATACTCAGTATGTGACTATATTAACTAACTATAGCCAATTACATTGCCCCCATATGTGTGATTTAACCTCCTTCTTCTCAAATACTCAGTATGTGAATATATTAACTAACTAAAGCCTTGAAGGGGTTTCCTTCGGAATCTAATAGCTTTTTAAAGCCATGTCGACTTAACATTTTCTTGTAAGCCTCAGTGATGGAGGTCAATGCATGAGCCACCCCATTTATATTTGTTTTAGACCCCTGGGAATGCATTCCATTTAATGCTTCATGCTGTTCTTGTTTACTCATTACTCCCTTGATATCATTATATATTTTAAAACAAAAATTTTAAAAATGTAGATAAATCAATTATTCATCAATTTATTAGTTAAGGGTGTAAAATAGTTCTTCAAAAGAATATTTTTAAAGGAAATTACTACACGTTCACAACCCATTTAATATAGTATTTCTAGAGAGAAAAGGGCCAGTTCTGCACCACTCGGTGGTGAACTGATGTATGACAAGCTGGATGTTGTGAGGACCCTTTGGGAGCATGTGAGCAGTGCCGAGGATCAGATAGATCAAAACGGTCTGAGGAGAATGGCACTGCAAGGAGTTACAAGGGAATCTGGCCAACGCTCGACACTCAGAAGAAAGGCGAGACGGATATACAATCAGACAGTTACTGGTACCATCCGAATTTTAACTCTTTGCTTGCTGCTGAAGATGGGGATAGAGCGCTTATAAGGGTGTCCCGAATGCTGTGATGTCGATTCTTAATTCAACATTTAGAGAGAAAAGGTTAAACCATATGTAAATTTTTTTCTACATCTCTATTCCCTTCCCAATTTTTCCCCTCCAACATGGCCAATGACATTTGTTTGCTTACTTTTTGCTTTTTAAATCCAGTAGAGCTGGGTCCTCATCTCTGCTCTTATGATTAACAGTCTTCTTCTTCTTCTTCTGCTGCTGCCTTTCTAGCCCCCAATGGAGCACGGGCCCTCAACCAACTCACGCCAAGTCGTTCTATACTTTTTATTTTCATCTTCCTTTATTTCTATGCCCTCTGTGCATTCCAGTGCAAAGACATTCTAGTTATACTGTTCTCAGGTTTTCTCAACGTGTGTCCTATCTAACACCAGCATCTCTATTGCAGGCACAAGTTAATGAATGTCTGTAGTTAATTAGTAATTGCCTTAGTTGTTCTCTATATTTCCGCTCTATACAACAGTTTTGATTTGACATTAAAACTAAAAACTGTTTGTGCAGTAACAGTTTTAATTACTTTTTGACTCCACAAATTTCCTAGTGCTGTGACAGCTCCTCTTGCTTCTTGTATTGTATTTTAACATCTCTATCAGTTCCCCAACCTTACACTAACAGAGTCCAAAATCGGAGGGATTAATACTAAATCAATTGCAAAGACCACTTACCAATTTGCAGTATGTAGGTCGATTACCTATGCCATATTCTGGGGCTTTAATCTTCTGCCAAGTAGCTCCTTTGTCATAGGTGATTAATGACTGTTGCTCTTCCACATCCAAGTTCTCACCGGTCTGCTGTGATGCAATGTAGATACCACTAATTCCTTGGAGCTTTGTGATGTCTACAAATGTCTCATTTGCATAGAGTCTGTAAGATATTAGACACATTATTATACTGGTGTTGCCACTGTCATCACTGCCATAAAAATAATAATAATAATTACATTTCTTAAATTTCCTTCTTTTTTCTGGGAGTGAGCAAAGGGTCTGGTGATCTTCAATATTCTTTTTCCAGAAAATTCCGGTTGTTCGTCCACTTCTGGACTTTAGTCTTATT